TTGGAAGCCGCCCAGAGTGGCTGGGGAAACCCAGCCAGATGGGTGGAGTATAAATAATATATTATTATTATTATTATTATTATTATTATTATTATTACTATTATTATTACTACTACTACTACTACTAAGAGCACAGATTTCCGAAGTGGCTTAAACAGTCAATCCCTCTTCCCAGGGCACTCTGGGAATTGTAGCTCAGTGAGGGAAATTCTCAGCACCTGTAACAAACAACAGTTCCCAGGATTCTTTGGAGTGTATTCAATGTATGGTGCAAATGTAGCCAAAATTGTTGTTGCTGCTGCTGCTGCTGCAGTGACCATGTTTGCAATGGGAAGAAGGAGCTTTAATTCCTAATTTCCTGTATTATTATTATTATTTTCTTGTCAGGGTCTATTGCAAAAACAATAGCAAGAAGGAATTGGAAATCAAAGTCTCTCCTCCCTCATGGGAACAGGAACTGACACAGAGAGGCAATGCACATAAACTGTTTATGGGGAATTAAGCTACTCACAGAAACCTCACTGCCATTCTCAGCAAGAAACAACCAAAACATCAGAAGTTGTGAGGAACCTTTTAATTAGCATTGCAGGGGACCTTTACCAAATGAGACTGAGTTCTAAATAAAATTACAGAAGGGTCTTTGGCACAGGGATGGATGTTGAAGAATAAAGCAGTATTTTGTGTGTCCTTTCTCTGCAACAGTTTTGGAACTGGGAGCAAAAAGCGAAAAGTGTGACATCAGTAAGACTGGATTTTGTAAGATAAAAATAGTGGTGTTTGGAAACTGTGGAAAAACAATGGTTCACCAGTGCTAATGGGACCGAGTATGCAAGCCACCCTCTTCTGCTACGTCAGCCTTTTCCCTATTACATTTGCTATAAATCAAATGTAGATGGACAGTTTTCAGGTTGACCCACTTTTTATTACAACATAAAAGGTGTTGCCCATGGGAAGGAATCCTTCTGAAGACAAGGCCTGGAGTTTCATTAACTAAGTGCATGCCAAGACAAGAGGGCGGAGTTGCCTCCCTTGGGATAAAGCCAAAGCAAATATACTGGAATCTTAAAGATAAAAACGAGTTTGAAGGGGTGGGAGAAGACAGATAAAATCTAGTAAATGAGCCAGGAATTACTGGCACCTGCATATGCTTTTCAAAGGAAGGAAACAGAAAAGTAGGAGTTTATTTCTGCTTCAAGCCATTTTTGCCCAAGCCCCATATGGAGCTTTCTTAGCTCCAAACCAAAGATTGAGAATTATCTTAGTCATTGCTTTTACATAATATTTTTTCAAACAGCCCTGCTCCCCACCATCCTATTTCCCTTTCGGTTGACCCCACTGTCAGGGGAAGGGATAGAATTGTGCCATGCTATATTCTTTTGTGGGACGCGGGTGGCGCTGTGGATTAAACCACAGAGCCTAGGACTTGCCGATCAGAAGGTCGGCGGTTCGAATCCCCGTGACGGGGTGAGCTCCCGTTGCTCGGTCCCTGCTCCTGCCAACCTAGCAGTTCAAAAGCACGTCAAAGTGCAAGTAGATAAATAGGTACCGCTCCGGGGGGAAGGTAAACGCCGTTTCCGTGCGCTGCTCTGGTTTGCCAGAAGTGGCTTAGTCATGCTGGCCACATGACCCGGAAGCTGTATGCTGGCTCCCTCGGCCAATAAAGCGAGATCAGCGCCACAACCCCAGAGTCGGTCACGACTGGACCTAATGGTCAGGGGTCCCTTTACCTTTACCTAGGTATATTCTTTTGTGCACTTCAATTTAGTGAAACAGTCTTAGCAATGTTAGCATTGGGGGAAGCAATTTTAGCAAGCGTTGTAAGCCACCGCCTCAATCGAAAGACGGGACAAAAAACTTGGAAAGATGCCTGTCTTCCTTCCATCCAGGCAACGCTAGCAGCGTCTTCCTGACTATCCACAAATGAGGGCACAAACACGCATATTTGTGTCCTTCTTTGCAGGGTGGGGCAGGCCCAATTGACATGCATAAACTGGAGCCAGAAAATCCTGTTTGCATCTCTGTTTCTTAGTCTCCCTCTGCATTCTCTATGTTTCTAACATCTGCCTCTGTGCCAGATCAAACGGTGCTATGGCTGGTGTATGAGGGGCTGCATCTCAGTTTGCTAACCCCGCTTAAGAGATTGCCAAGGCGGAACTGTGGCTCTCTGCATGCTGAGGACACTGTGCCCTAAACCTCCTGATGATTGCTCTGAATGGCTTCCTATGGATGTCAATGGGCACTGGAGACAGATTCATGCCTCAGGGCTCCCCGCAGCTAAGCCGCCAAGATGTAGGCATGCCTATATGGAGTTCTGAGTCTAATGTCAGTTTTGCAATTGTTTGTGTGGTCTTGCTTTTTGCTATTATTTTGATTTATGATTCAGTTGAATTGCGTGTTGTGATTTCCGACTGGTAGCCGCCTCGAATTTGTTTGAGGAATAAAGCGAGATCTAACCTTCCCACGCAAATGAATGAATGGTTGAATAAATAAACAACAAGGCCTGTGTTGAATTGTGAGGGTGAAAGCTCAAAGAAGACATTGTGCTTCCCATATTCCCAGGGTGAGAGAGATGCAAGTTTGGAATAAAGGAAGAGCAAGTGACTTAACCAGGTACTGTAGATGATTTCCACAGTGTCTGTGGGAGGCTTGTACTATACTAAGTGCATGTACATGACAAAAAAGAAGCAGGGGGAATAACAGCTTTAAAGTGATTTTCAATTCTGGCATGTTAATGGAATCAGACAGCTGATTATATAGACATACACACATTTCCCATGAGAGACCCTGCCAATGCTTCTAAAACTTTTCCATTACGCTGATTACATCTCATAATTGTGTGTCAAGACCAAATCAATTTGCACTAATAAAAAAGTTTGGTTATAAAACCTCTGTTTCCCCAGGTTTTAAACACTTCCCCACCCTTTCAGAGAGAAGCTCAAAATGGCTTTCCTATGGTGGCTGTCCCACACAACCAAAGAAGCCATTGGTGACTACTGCTTCGCCCTGTATACTAGCACCCGTCACATGCTTGGACTCTACCCTGCTGCTACGGTTGCCGCGTTACAGCTCAAGAGGTTTTTCCCCTTTAAAAGTAGGAAAATGCAGCCAAGGCTTCACCTGTTCCGTTCTCCCACAGTCATGTCATTTGCCTCGGCCTGCAGTAGGTGAAGAGTGGCTGGGAATAATGGAGAGGTGGACAAGAGCACTCTTGTGCCAGAAATGAAGCCATTTTTTGGTGCGAATGTCGTGCCATTGCTTCTGACTTACGTCTGGACCAGGTGGCAAGTTCAGAGAGATGTAATTCGCTCCAAGCAATAGCATCTCTCCACCGTTCAACCGCCCCATTCCATGAAATCTAGCTCGTCTGGAAGAGGATCTTACCTAAAGTTTTGTTCCTTCTCATACTCTGCATGTTGGCAGTTGAACAAAGACTCTTTGTGATGTTAGAAGTGCTCTTTGACACCTGGCATGAAACACTTATGGTTGGAATATGACTGCAGTAGTTACTTAAAAAAACATTGCCAGTTAGTCTACAGTTCCCTGGTCTGAACACTGAGCAGGCTCCAATAAGAACTGCACTGGCCCTGCCAGGCTCCCCTCACCCCCAGCTTTGGTGACTGTTATGAACTGGTAGGATGATGGAGAGGAGGAAGAGAATCCCAGCAAGGGGTGGAGCCAGGACTGGGACACACAGGGGCAAGCAGGGCACAGGGATGGAACTACTCATAGGGTGACAGAGGATGGTGAGAGGGTCATTGCAGAGGAACCAGAGCAGCAGGACCCATCACCTGAGCCAGAGGGTCCCTGTCTCCACAAACATGGTGGGCTCTGAGGCATCGGCAGCAGTGGGAGGGGAGCTCTAGGAGGCAGAGGAAGGCAAGGGCCCACAGCCCAGCTCCCTAGCTGGCCAGGTGGGGCTCGCTTGCTCTGGGAGGAGGGGTGTGATTCCTCAGCAGGAGTAGGCTTGGAACAGGTGAGGGTCACATGTCTCATCAAGCCCAGATGCTGCAATCAGCAGGCAAAGTACAAAAGGGCAGCAGAGCTGAGGTGCCATGTCTGTTCTGTGGGATGTAACATAAGCAGTCAAGTACAACACTTCCTGTTTGCCCAGAGTGGACATGCGGGGTGTGTATGTGTGTTACTCCAGGCAGGAGGACTTCCTGTCACACCTGGTCTGGAGCTTCTTCCCCCTACATGTGACCAGGTAGATGGGCGTGACCCTGGGAGACCCACTAAAAGGGGCTGATCACGCAGCCACCTTCTCTTCTTCTTCCTCTTGATGCCATGCTCCATTGATACTGATGTATTTTGCTGTCTACTTGCTCTCAGCCACCAAGACATGGGCTCATTCCCATATAGGATGAACTCAAACCCTTTTCTGTAAGTAACTCTTAAGTTGAACCTGCCTTCGGGGATACCACTGTGAACTGAATGTGAATAAACTTCTTATTACTTTTAAAAGAAGCTTCTAGTGTCTTTATTCTTTTTAGAAGGGGTAAAAGGGGATTTGCCAGGAGCAAAGCCCAATCTGAACAAAGTCAGATTGGATTGCTTAAGTGAAGAGATTCAAACAAATCTACCAACTAGCTTCCTTCTATGTACTGGGGAATGCACTCTGCTCCTGACTCACAAACGTTAGTTAGTTAGTATAAATCAATATATTCTCTTCTAGTAGCTACAACATTCCCACATGTTCAGCTGCCATGTTGATGGACCTTGGCTTGGATGCTCTTGGACCTCCATGGGACCGTGCTTTGGGTTTGACTCTGAACTACATCCTGACTGCTGGACTTCAGAGATGGCTACTTGGATTGACCCTAGACTGTGTTTCCTGACCTTTGCTTGTGTGGACTGACCCTTGAACTTTGGACTTGGCACACTTGACTTGCTGCCAGGCAGGCCAGGGCTTCAGGAAGACACAATTCTAACAGGTGATCTCACAATATGAAGCTGCCTTCTACTGAGTCAGACTTGTTGGCCCAACTAGTACAGTACTGACTGCACTGACTGGACTGTGGTTCTCCAGGATGTCTGGCAGGGGGGAGTCTTCCCCAGCCTTACCTGCAGGTAGCAGAGGTCCCTTGCATGGGACCATCATTGTATGCAAGGCAGATGCTCTACCACCACCCATCCCTATCTATGGCCTTTCAAAGTTACAGGAACCTTATTCAAGTCCTTGGTTTGAATGGAAAGTATGAAATCTGGAGTCTGCTAATTTCTCTAATCTTTTTAAAAAGCACATTTTGCTATTTGAAAACCTTAGTGAATCTGTGCTGCAGTTTCGGAAACCAGGAGGACTTTCCACGCTTAAGAGTCTAGATCTGGGCTGGAATAATTGCTTGAATTCAAAGACATGATTGTCGGCAGACAGTAAAGGTCAGACCTTCCAAGTGTCCCTATTTTCCAGGGACGTCCCTGATTTAGAGAAGCCATCCCAGTTTCTGATTTGATCCTGGAATGTCCCACTTTTGCTTAGGATGTCTCTATTTTCATTGGAGGAATGTTGGATGGTATGGAGTTATCCCCAAGCCATGTGAAGGCAATCCTGTGTAGGGAAATTTTTTAATATTTAATGTTTTATTATGGTTCTATATATGTTGGAAGCTGCCCAGAGTAGCTGGGGCAACCCAGTAAGATGTGTGGGGTCTAAATAGTAATGGGATGTCCCTATTTTCATCGGAGAGTATTAAAGGTTGATGTTGTGCTCTTGGTAGGGGAAGAAACAATACAAAACTTTTATTTTTAACAGCACTCATTGTCCTTCTTTGGCATCCAGCAAATGGGAAGGACAAATATTAATAGAACTATTTATCCAAAGCCAGCAAGGCAGCTACTGCTAAACTCAGTCCTGCTTCAGTAATCAACAGGATACATACAGGAATCCCAGCATAGGTCTCATGGGAGAAATAACACTAATCAAGAACTGGCAATCTCATATATTGGCAGTTGCCATACAATTCTTGTAGAAAATGCTGGATGGGAGCGGTGGAGAGGAGATCATTATGAAATATCAGGCACCATGGAGTCCTCTCAAGAGTCACAGACAGCTGGGGAGAATGTCAGGTTTTTTGGATTCCAAATATGGTACTTTCAGAAATAGATGGCTTGAGTGTGGGTCAATGTGACCCAGGTTACAGCCTGACACTGTCATTGCTGGAGAGAATGAGATTTCATCAGCTTGAAGACAGTACCGGTAATTGCAGAGCAGGGTCAATGGAAAAATGAAGCAAGAGAAGTTACCGGAAGAGTACAGAGCCATATTTTTCTATGTTGGTGGGAAGGGACTGATTTATTGCCTGCCTGATGGACAACATTTGGAGATAACTGCTTTCTGGTCAGAAGTATTTTGATTTAAAAAAACACACACAAAACCCCAAAATTAAAGCAACAAAGTCCCCCCCCCTTTGTATAAAATAATCAACCTGACGCATAATCAACCTGTTTTATAGGAAGAGGGGAGAAATAAGCAGAATGACATATTTTTGAACTCAGTTAACAAACAAAAAGGTAAGTGCAGGGCCCTATATTACTGCCCCCACTCCTGGCCAAGGTGAACGCTTTCGGACCATCCCTCCGTTCTCAGATTACCTTTATTCAGGGAGGTGGTGAGTCTGTGTGATTTCAGCTCCCATCAACCTAGCAGTGGTCAAGGAAGGTGGCAGCTGTAGTCCAGCAACATCTAGGGGACCACAGGTTCCCCATCTGTTTTACCTGCATGTGAAATCTGCATGTCACGGTCCCGTTAAAGGTGAAAGAGAGGACAAGTTGCAACCTTGGGGCTAAAGCTGCCAACTTTTGCAATGGCTTTCGTGCCTTTCATGACTGCTTGTTCAGCCGAGCTAGGGGGTAATAAAGTTCATTGCTGTGCCAATATAAAGCTTCATGTGATCTTGCTTTTATGGGCACAGAAGATGACAGGTTTTCCCTCGACTCTCATTTAGTTGGTAACCCAACCCATGGGCTTTACAATTTCCCCTGTAACTTTCATGTTATAAGGATGAAATTACGGTAGTTGTTTAAACTCAAAGGTATCTCTGGACTTCAGCCCCCTTAAATTTAATCCTCTGTTTATACAGTGTGTGCCTGTTTAAGGATACATCTTGCCGATACTTCTCTTTGCATGATGGATTAGCAGATGTATGTTGTTGCTACTCCCATTTGTGGCAGTTGATGACATCTTATGTTGACTTGATTTGTGATCACCTCCACATGGAGTGTCTGGGTAACACATTTGCCTTTTATTGTCCAAATGGGAAAGAGGCATACCTGTTTTCACTATGCACAAAGAATCAGCCTGGCAAGCGTGTGATGCATCCATTTCCTCTAGAAAGTTACTAAAACAATTCATGAATGGAATAGGAAAGTAAGAGCAAGGACACCACCTTTTTCTGACAGGTTTGTTTTGACTTTTGCAATGGATAGTTTCCTGGACACAGGGAGCAATGAGGCAGAATGGGTAGAGAAACAGATAGAGAAGATGCTCCATTTGCCAACCTGGTGCCCTTCAGATGTTTTGGATTACTACGACTCCCATCTATCCCTGCTAGCATGGCCATGTTGGCTAAAGCTGATGGGAGTTGTAGATCAAAACATCTGGAGGGCACCAGATTGGTAAAGACTGCTCTGCATAGCTGTCAACATTTCCCTTTTTCAAAGGGAAATTCCCTTATTCCGAATAGGATTCCTCACAAGAAAAGGGAAAAGTTGACAGCTATGCTGCTCTGGTTTGCTTTCAGCTCCTGGCTAGACTCTTATCTGCTCACTGTTTATCCATGCCAGGAGAAATGGCATGGCAACCCTAACTGGCAGACAGAAAATTAATTTTAAAGGAATAGTGCAATATCATTTGCCTGAGACGGAAAGATCATTTCATTGTTTGTATCTTTTCGTTGAGCAGTTAGACATTTCTCTGAGCAAAAAAAGATATATTTCCAGCTCATGCAAAGGAAGGACTCCATGCAGTGGTTGTAGCTGTTATTTAAGTCAGTGCTTTTTTTTTCTTTTAAAAAAATGTTTAGGGGTACTCTCATTTTGACTCAAGAAAATCACCATTTTGTAGTTCAAATCGGAAAAATTAATACAGTAAATGGACAAAAGTACAAAGATTCACAAATATTTTAGGGGTATGTGTACCCCTGCATCCCCCCAGAAAAAAAAGCACTGATTTACATAGCCTCATCTATGTACATGGCCCTGAGAAACTCTCCTGCTAAAATTGGACAGAGGGGGAGGCAGCAGAGGTGGTGAAGAAAGGTACTGCAGGAAAGGCAGAGGCAAGAGTAAGGATGGATATGCAGAACTCTAAACATACAATAGGCTTTGTTTCTGTAGGTGAGGAATAAAGGCTGAGCCAAACCCCGTGTGGAAGACATGGTTTTTGAGGAAGGATTTGATGGAAGAGTGGCACCATGTTAGATGCAATTTTGAAGGCACTCAAGATATAACTTCAAAGCAGAGAGTCAGTACAGTGGTACCTCGGGTTAAGTACTTAATTCGTTCCAGAGGTCCGTACTTAACCTGAAACTGTTCTTAACCTGAAGCACCACTTTAGCTAATGGGGCCTCCTGCTGCTGCCGCGCCGCCGGAGCACAATTTCTGTTCTCATCCTGAAGCAAAGTTCTTAATCCGAGGTAATATTTCTGGGTTAGCGGAGTCTGTAACCTGAAGCGTATGTAACCTGAAGCGTATGTAACCTGAGGTACCACTGTATATCATGGCTTGCTTTAATTACAAGTGGGAAATGTAAATCTCACTCTCCAAGACTGGGATCCTCTGATGCACTCTCAAGGAGCAGTGCCTCTGGTGGGTCTATTTATTAGTGCAAAGGGAGCCAAATTGCATGATGGCGTGACACGCACTTTACAATGAAAAATGTTCTCCGGCTGCATTGTGCATTTCAAGCCAAGCATTTGACCTTTTTCTGAACAAGGCAGATGCTTCCTTAAAAAGTAGCATTCCTTGTGCACCAATCAATTGCATTTTAGATCACATAAACTATCATCAAAGGAGATGTAGGATTCTTCTGAGATTTAGATAAATATAGCATACAGTGAGAAATAAGCTCTGTTAGTCTCCCATGTGTTAGGATCCGACATTTGTGAAGTATTGCTAACAAGGTCTTCAGTGTCGTTGACGTGACAAACTGCAATCGCTGCCCCAGTTTTGAGCTCACTTGCACTGTAACTATAAGGAGACATGGCTTAGAGGTATAGAAAGATAACTATGCCCTGGGCTCGCAGAAATTCTCTAGATGCCTGCAGCATTAGCTTAGGCATCTGATAATGGTGAAGCTCTACAGACTTGCCAGAGTTGATCAGGAAGGCGTTCCAGCAGAAGGGTTTAAAATACTTGATATGCACAGCTGTGCGAAGCAGAACAAGGCAATGTCAAATTTATCCTAACAGATAATATATAAATATGAATGGCAGTCATGTATCAGTTGCCACATCCAAATCTTCAATGAGCTTCTGTACTTTCTAAAGTTGCATAGGGCTAAAAGGGGGTCAGGGAATGTCCATGTAAGGCTTCTTCTATCTACAAAGGTCTCTCTCTCTCTCTCTCTCTCTCTCTCTCTCTCTCTCTCTCTCTCTCTCTCTCACACACACACACACACACACACACACACACACCCAGAATCCTGCTGTGAAAATCTAGAGTCAAGCTCTAGTTTGGATCTAGCTGGGTTAAGCTGACCCAAGTTTTGAATTACTCAGGACTGGAGCCAGGTGACATGATTTTGACTTGGGTGTTGCTGAGATTTTCAAGCAACCGATGCATTTCATGGGGTTAAAAAACACACCCAACCTTCTGATGTCTAAGACCAGCAGTGGTCAACATTCTCTAGTCTAGACAGTTAGGAATAATAATAATAATAATAATAATAATAATAATAATAATAATTTATTTATACTTCACCCATCTGGCTGAGTTTCCCCAGCCACTCTGGGAGGCTCCCAGTCGAGTGTTAAAAACAATACAGCATTAAATATTAAAAACTTCCCTAAACAGGGCTGCCTTCAGATGTCTTTTAAAGATAAGATAGCTGCTTATTTCCTTCACATCTGATGGGAGGGTGTTCCACAGGGTGGGCGCCACTACCGAGAAGGCCCTCTGTCTGGTTCCCTGTAACCTCACTTCTTGCAATGAGGGAACTGCCAGAAGGCCCTCGGCGCTGGATCTCAGTGTCCGGGCAGAATGATGGGGGTGGAGACGCTCCTTCAGGTATACTGGACTGAGGCTGTTTAGGGCTTTAAAGGTCAGCACCAACACTTTGAATTGTGCTCGGAAACGTACTGGGAGTCAATGCAGATCTCTGCATTATAACACTATACATTGGCTCTTGTGCTTTTAAGTCACGTCCAAAGATGTAGGAACCCCTTTGAGACTGGCAACATAACTCTGGATGTAGGCAACAGCCCAATTCCATACATTAGCATGAGCCCCTTCCCAATCTGCTCTGGTAACATATGAAAAAGAAGCTATAGATGCAATCTTCTTGATGCATATAATCCAAAAAAGGTTGCCACACATTAAAGAAAAGATGAGGATGAATGTTTCCTTTGGTCGCACATATCTGACAGGGCAGTTTTTCAGCCAAGGCTATTGTCCATGTTCTAGAGCAACATGCTTCAATGTTCAAGCCCAAAGCAGCACATCAATGCACGACTGTTTCCATACATGCTGCTGCAATGAGAAATATTAACAGTTTATGTGTAATTGGTGGAGCAGATATGTCCATTAGTCCAAGTAAAGCAAATTGAGGGGAAGGTTGTAAACATTTTGTATGTCAAACTTAATTCTTTGAATACCAAAACCCCAAATGGGTAAACAGATTTGCAAAACCACCATGTATGTATGTATGTATGTATGTATGTATGTAAGATCCAGTCCCCCCACATCCCCTCCAACAAGTAGATGTGGCTCCTGATATCATATGGAATATTTGCAAGCGGAAAAAGGTATCCCCTTTGTAGATGTTTCAGAGATGATTCCTTTAACTGAGCTGATCTCATGGTAATATGTGGAAAGAATTCTTGGATGGAATTGAGAGAATTTGATTAGATATTTTCAAGCAAACTAGTCAATGTGTTCTGAGTTATGTTGTGGCCTGTGTGATGTGAAAAATGGAGATTAATAAAAACAATTTTAAAAAGAAGTTATGTGGGAGGGTGAAATTTTGCAGGAAACTTTCAGGCTAGCATATTGATTTAAAATTGTAGACCCATGCACAATTAAAAATATGTGAATTAACCGTGCATATTTCTTAACATAGTAGCTTTTCTATACTGTTGGAATATCTGCAAGTAGCTCTGGAAGTCTAGATGAATTTTCTTTTTTTTAAGAGAAAAGAAGCTGAAGAGAAGGATGAAATGCTTAATGTGCCTGTGCCTGCTCACTAAGGTCTAGTGTAGTGGAGACGCCCTTCTCTGATTCCCACCTATGACTGGGACAAGAAATAGGGTCTTCTCTGCAGCCACCAGCGTTATTGAACACCTTGCCTTGTGAGGTTTGGATGGCAACGTCTTTGATTGCCTTTTGCTAGCCCTTTTAAAATTCAAGCAACCTTTTGTCAGACTGACTTGGTTTTAATGGGAAACACTGCTCTGTCTGCTGTGCACGAACTTGTCAAGTTTGCTGATATTGCTATGCTTTTTGAGATGGTTATACTGCTTTTATATTGTCATTTTAATTGATGTAAGAAACTTTGCGTTTTTACATAGATATTAGGGGCTGTGATCCAGGTTGCTTTGCATACGTGCCCCACCCACTAGACATTTCCCTTTCCACCTCATGTCGCCACAGCCAAGCAGGATGGAGAGTTGGTCTGGCTGGAGGAACAGGACCAGAAGAAGGCCAGAAGTACTGGCTAGCTGACCTGGGGACCTGCTCCTGCTGCCACCAACACCTTATCTAGGCCGGCTCGTCAGTCTAATTGGTGGAGGAAGCAGAGGATAAGCACTTCTGATCAACTTCTTCCTTTCCAAGCTACTTCTCCTGTTGGGCCAACTCTTCATCCTAATTGGTGATGGTGGTGGCAGAAGCAACAGATTCCCATGTTGACCAGAGGAGCAGAAAGGCAGGAAGTAGTAGCACTAGCTAACCTGGGGAGCTGGATCCCAAGGGCATTGGCCCCAAGGATAGCACACACAACAGTCGGGGGAGCAAGGCAGCTTCTGGGGCGCTGTTGCAACTAGTTCAAGCTGTCCCTTCTTGGTTTGATTGGACCACCCATCCCCACCTTTGGTCACAGCGCAGTTTGCAGTGCCACCTGTCTGTGGACAAGCGAAGTGATGACTATTTTACATTTTTAATGTATGTACAGTGGTACCTCAGGTTAAGTACTTAATTCGTTCCGGAGGTCCGTACTTAACCTGAAACTGTTCTTAACCTGAAGCACCACTTTAGCTAATGGGGCCTCCTGCTGCTTCCACGCTGCTGGAGCACGATTTCTGTTCTCATCCTGAAGCAAAGTTCTTAACCTGAAGCACTATTTCTGGGTTAGCGGAGTCTGTAACCTGAAGCATATGTAACCTGAAGCGTATGTAACCTGAGGTACCAATGTATAGACAGAAATAATGTGAAATTCCTCTTGTCATCAGCCCTAATGATGAGGAATGACAGCAGAAGGCATATGTGGTTTCTTTATACGACTGCTAATTATAAATGACAAGACAAGCAACATAGTATAGTATCTGTGTAGCAGTGGAGTATTTTTATTCAATTGATTTGATAGAAAACAGATTATCACCCTCCAATCTAAAATAGGTTAACAGGCCTGAAAAGTTCTTGAAATATGTACAGTTTTTGATACAGAATATTTGAAGCAGTGGAGTGGCAACAGAACTGTCAAAACATTAGCGGGTAGCTCTGGACTTGACTGCAGCTTTCTGAGAATGAATATGCCACTCAGGAACCCACTGGCTTCCTGGTGGAGTCCCAGGAGGAATGAACTAGAACCTGAGAGCAAATAGATGTCCAGTGTATCAGCTTGCAAATCTGGGGAAATTAACCTGCTCAGGAAGGGTTTGAGAAGCCAGAAATTGATTTAGAGCCTTCAAATCAAGTTCTCAATCTGGGCAGCAAACTAATGACAAACCTGTATTAAAATTGAATGGAAACTTGTGCCAAAGACTTTCCATTCTAATGTTTTCTAGCATTTAACTCTGGAAAGGCAGTAACAACTGGGCATAGACAGTGTGACAACAGTCCATTTGGCAGCGACTTTCCACCTTGACATGGTGGGCTCTAGACTTCTGTACTCACGCACCATCTCCCCTTACAATATTGGAGTACCAAAGCATAAAGTAGATTTGCTTTCATTTCTTTAAAAATGAATTAATCTCAAAACAATTCTAATTTAAGCTGTGTCTTACACTGTACTTGTTCTGTCACCCTTCCTTTTCTTTTGTTGCCTTGTTTTATTTCATATTAGGTTCTTCCCTAATTTAGACAGTGGTCATAATCCATCAAGCGAATAACATTAGCATAGATGGGTATCTCTCACTGCCAGTTATGGAACTTGTTCTTCATAGCTGAAACTTACATATATATACATTTTTTGTCCCGGGCATGGAAACTATTTGTCCATTTGGTTTTGATTTAGTCCAAAGGTCAGTTTCAAGAAAACCTTTTGGATATCACAGTGATTTTTCTTTGTGCCTTTGGGGAGTGCATTTCCCTTAACTCTGAGGTGCTTTAACCCATTCCTATCCAGCCTTTCCTAAAGAAAGAACCCTCAAGAAATATTTCTGAACTTCCAGCTAACTAGACATATTAGATAAACAAAGTTCTGTGTTAAGCAGCAATGCTAATTACAATTGCTCATCCTATTTCACTAGTTTGTTCTGAAGTTGAGAGGAACAATGTGCAGCTGCTTGGAGGAAGCATGGGATACAAATATAATAAACAAGTTGGAATTAAATTAATATTTGACTGGATTCTATTTGAAGGAGTATCTAGAGCATAGGGGTTTATGAATAGGTCATGCTTCCTGATTCAAGGGTTGGTGTTTAGTCAGTGAGTAGAGAATTGCCAGAAAGGCAGCGATTCCATTTATTCTTGAAATGAGCAGGGCTAGCCTAAGAGATCTTTCTGTCTGAACTGGAGCAGCTAATCCTCCCATCTCACTGGACAATGCATTGCATCCATGGCCAATCACATTATTTTGGCACCAGAGGCAGAATCTCCACTCCCAAAAGCCCCTCTTCACCCTTGCTGATAGCAGCAACAGTTTATAATAGATTTAACTCTTTGCTGCCCTTTCATGACACTCAAAGTCCCCCCTTTTCCTAATGGCGGAGTTGTCTCTAGAATCACAGAATTGAAAGGAACTACAAGCATCAACTAGTCCAACACCCTGCAATGCAGGAATATTTTGCCCACTGTGGGGCTCGGCCCCATGACCCTGAGACTAAGAGACTCATGTGCTACTGATTGATTTATGTTCCCCATATCATTCCCTTTAATCTGTTTGTCCAAGGCACTGCTCCAGAATTGTCTGTGGTAAGACTCTTCAGTCTATTCTGTAAGACTTTCATTTTTTGAAACCGAGTTCATCAGTTACAGTCACGAGACCAGCACTTTTAATGGATAGAGATCTGCTATAACATTTAAGTATCTGACCTTGCCATTCCCTTGTACTGTATCTTTTAGCTCTTCACTCTCACCAGGAGAGGTAATGACTCAAATTAAAACCAACATATACTGGCTTTTAAGTGGGTACTGGAAGGGAGCCAGGAAACTCAAGCAGAAGCTGTATGACTCTTTTGGTCTACTAGGCAGGGCAGCAGTCCACAGTAAAAAACCCTGATATGTGGCCTGTGAGCTGGTTCCTTTCAAAACTTCCCCCAGTGTCATATTAACTGTGTCCCTAGAAGCCTATATGGTTGTTGATAAATGCTTCTGGAATGCAGAATATTAGTGCTTCATTTATTGGATATGGGCTAGGGGGGGAAGCCTTTAACTTTAAAGTAATACTAACGAATCAGTTTTCCATGGACCAAACACTCAGAGCTCCAGTTTTTTTATATAATTAATGCAGAAGGGCTCACTTCCTACTATGGATGTAAATGAGGCAGCCTGAATGCAGAGAAGCCCCATATGCTCACTGAGGGTTATCTGGTCTAAATCTCTCCTAGAAGGGAAGGAAGAAACATGGCTGGATCAAACCACATATCCATCAAGTCCAGCATCCTGGTTTCAACAGTTGTTATCCAGATACCTGCAAAAAATGAAGGCAACAGTTCTTTTCCAGTAGTATTTGGCAGCCGCTGGTAATCAGCCCTATGGTGTCTATGGAAACAGAGGATCCATTTATCTCTCACAGCATAGCCATTGATAGATGTGTCATTGATAAGTCTGTCTAATCTGTTTTTTATCAACATCTAGGCTAGTTGTCATCTCCATTTCTTGTGGCATTGAGATAAATAAAAGCTAGAATATCTGATACAATTTTATAACATTCATAACTGTATAAAAATTTGCTCAGTTTATTTTAAACCTTGTGTAAAAGACAGTATGAAATTCATAATGAAAAGATGTATAATTTTAAAATATCAAAATTACACCTTCCATTGCTTTGAGAGGTGACTTGTTTACCATCAAATAAATTCAAATGTACTATTATACATTAAATTTCCTTTTCTTAAAATGACAATTACAAAAGTACACTAACAGCCAAACTGTCTAGCTTAATATCACAATCATGCAATTGATTTACTACTTAAAGTTGGTCCAAGAATCTAGATAAATTTAAAACAGCAGCTTTTACATTCCTGTACAATCAGCTCTGTTAATCTATAAAGGCTTAATATATAACATCTGAAACCCTAAAATTTGTAAAAATAAATCTTTAGCTTTATATTGCACTATCAAAATCATATTGGCCTACAGGCAATTATTTACATGCTTTTAAAATAGTTCATTTCTTGAGAATGAAAGCCCAAATATTAACAATATATATTAATACTATATTTGCTCTACCTTAAAACTGTTATTTGCCTCACCACATGCCTCAGGTCAATGGCAGCTATAAGCTCTGCTATATTGTGTGTACTGTTTGGAGATCACCTTTCATCAGGTTTAATTAATCAAGATCCCCCCCCCCATTTAATTTCTTAGATGCCTACTACTAAAATTAGTCTTGAGGTGACTTACAATATAAAAGTATTTTAAAATATATATTATTTGCTGTACTTCCCTGGGGAATATCCATAAGCTAAACCAACAGTGAAGTAGTCTGTAGCTTTTGCCTGTAGCTTGTACAACCTGAGGAGACAGAGGCTGACTTTCTTAAGTCACCTCCCTTTGTGAAGACAGTAAGAGACAGTTTCATTTAGACGAAGGCAAATATATACATCCTCAGATCTGACAGTCCTGACATCTTTCCTCTATCGAGTATTGTAAAAACAAATAAACATGAATACTGTACAAAATTGTTTTCCAGCAAGAGAGTATATTTCTATACAGAAAAGAGTGCACTTTTTCTTTAAAAAACAAACCAACAATTCTACACCGTTCAAGGTAAGACTGTTATAGAATTAAAAGCAAAATGAAAAGCTTTAAAGGCACAGTCAGAGGAAAGCGAGTGCTACATTGGCTATACTTTTCAAGTGTTCTTATTCTAAACCAAAGCCTTCTGCATTTGAAATTCCAATTGTCAACTTCTGTTTCAGCTCTTTTTTGGTCTTGTAAGGAGGCAGGCAGAGCTGATTGAAGCAAGTGTGGGCAACAGGTAACCTAAAAATATTGTGAGAGAACATACACATTTTTAGTAAGAAATAACTCAACTGACTAAATTTAACTGTTGCTACAATCCACTGTTCCATGTGTGCAAATATGTATGTAAGTGCTGGGAGGGAGTCAGATCCCATTCTTTTTAGTAGAGGGACTAGTTTTTGCTGAAAGGAATTCACACAAAGTAGCTCTCTGCACTTAAATTAAGAAACAGGTATTCTAGTCAAAGGGACTGCCACACATGAGGAACTGAAAGCCAATATAATTGGGCCACACAATTATAGCTGCAGCCCAATGTTAGGAGTGTGTCACTTGAATCACAGTCTGCTATTATAATGAGAATTAGGGTGAGAGGTATATTTTATATGGCTCATAGTTAGAAAATGGTTCAATGCACTTATTTGTAACTTGACAGTGTAGGAGAGGTAAGTGTATGGATGGTTTATGCCAAATTTGGGATAGAACTTGCAAATATCCCATATTTTTAATGAGTTAAAAAGTTGGACAGACTTAGGTAAGTTGTCAGGCCGTGTGTGTGCTTTTTGGTTACCCCGGTTTAAGAAATTTCCTAATTCAGCTCCAGTCGATGAAGCAGCACAGGGTAAAGTACAGTGGTACCTTGGGTTAAGAACTTAATTCGTTCTGGAGGTCCGTTCTTAACCTGAAGCTGTTCTTCACCTGAGGTACCACTTTAGCTAATGGGGCCTCCTGCTGCTGCCGTGCCGTCACCACCCGATTTCTGTTCTCATCCTGAAGTAAAGTTCTTAACCCGAGGTACTATTTCTGGGTTAGCGGAGTCTGTAACCTGAAGCGTCTGTAACCCGAGGGACCACTGTACCTTTATAGCCACTGAGTGTGGAATCTAGAATAGCCTAGACCACAGGTGGGAACATAGTACTAAGCCATCATTCTGATGCAATCCATGTACTCTCCCAATGGCCGTAATGCTAAGCCAAGGTTTAGTGCAGGGGTGGGGTACTGGATTTGGCCAGCGGTCCAGATCATTATCATTCCCACCTGTTGTGGGCCAAGACTGATGGGCAGGCAGAGCCACCCACCTTTTAATCACCTGATGGCAATAAAAAGGTCACTTGACATCACCATGGACACAGGGGTCTTTAGAAGCCCCTTTCAAAGTGCTACCTTGTGAAGCCCTTTGGGCATTGCAGGTACTCACAATCAGGCTGACTGATGGTACCTGCAAACCCCCTTTTGACTGAGCCAAGTTTGTACCTGTTTTCACTTGTAGGGCAGATGGGAATGGCTTGGCCAAAATGGCCTCACAGGCCAAAAGGGAGGCCTGGCAGCCCTAACTTGGCCTGTGGGTCAGAGGCTCCCCAACCCTGTTTTAGTGCTCTATGGACAAGCATGAATGAGCCTGAGCAAAGAACTGGACTTGCACGTTTCCTTCTTCTTTCTCTTCCCACACAGCTGGGAGGTCTTCGGCAGAGTTTAGTGTCACTTTTGTAGAATCTCAGCTTACTTAGCATTATGGGATCCTGTTTCAAATAAACTGCTAAGTTTCAGAACAAGTCAGCTGAAAACTATGGCCTATAAAGCTGGCCTATTTAAATAAACAGTGTTAGGATATAGTCTTCAGCAAGCCAACCTTCAAAAGGTTATCTGGGTATTTGGCTTACACGAGTTAAACCAATTGTGTTTGCTCACAGCTTTAAATCTAGGGGGAATAAGTTTATTATAAAGGAACTCTGGTTTTTAAAAAGCTATGCAACTAACATAACAAAATGATACATTAATGAAACAAAGTTATCTATTTAAGATACTTATATTCCACATTTCAGAATGATTTCCTCACAAGATGGTAAACCAAAATATATAAACTAAAGCAAATAATGCATACACAATTTAAAACAATAACATTAAAATTGCCAGTACATTAAAAAAAATGGCCTGCCCAGTACAACCATTATAATCAGAATAAAAACAGGAACCCAGTTCCACAAGTGCATGGCCACCAATGAGAAGGTTTGTTCCCATATGCCCCTCAATGTATTTAAAGTCAGAATAATGAAAACGGAAACAGTTACCAATTTGTGGATGCTTCACTCTTTGAAATCTTGAAATTCAGGTCGGCCATTCCTCCTACAGGTACTCTGTCACTTCCTGTAGCAAAATGCAGGAGCTTCTTTTGAAGTTCAAGAGGAAATTCAAGTACTACTTCCCAGAAATACCTACAATAGGCGTAAAACCCAGTTTCAGTCCCCATTGACAATTGATTTTTATTGGAATTCTATAGAAATTAGCATTAAGAATCAAGGGGGAAAATATGTCTACCGGACAGTAAGATCAGTTTTCTGGTAACCGTCATATTGCGTGTGCTTCTGAAGAGAATGCATATCCAGTTCAGGACTTCCACAAACTAGAATTTCAACCTCCTCAGGACGAAGCAGCTGCCAAATTATTGAATTTGAAAACTAGATCACACAAACTAGTTAAATAGTTAAGCAGTGGATTTAAATTAATTTAGTCCCATTTATTGTTATGAACTTAAATCATGTCCAGATTGACTGAACAAATTGATCAGCTTGTGAGTTAAGGTATATTACTAAGGTGTCACTAAACCCACTGTTACTTTCCTGTACAAAGCAAGAAAAAAGAAAAGCACCTGCACATTGTCGATCATTCAACAATGATCCTTTTATTTATTGCATATATATCCTTCCCTATTTCTGAGGTGCTTATTGCACCCATTTAGCATGGGTTTTCTATGTCTGAGCTGAATGATTCACTTCTATAGTGAGTTGGAATTTAGATGTGTGGGGGAGGAAGTCTGCTGGTACAGAAACAATGTGGAAACTCAATGAGCTCACAAAACCTCTTCATATATTAGATGCTTTGATGTCTTGAAACTATTAACTAGTAATTACTCAATAGCATAAGGCATTATATATCTTCACTACCTAGTATTTTGTGGCACAAAGGCACTTCAAGTTTATAATTTCTACAGTATTATTCATGGGCAAACTCCATGCACATATTACACAATCTCTAGAGAATATAATAAATTCTTCAAACTTTTGTTTAGTACATTTTCCAAATACTTTTTGCTTTTTATTCTTACCATTAATGCATATGAAGCACAGACACTATGAAATCCATAATAAAATGCTGCAAACTGTTTGTAGATTGATTTGTTGAGAAGGAAGTCTACATAAAGTTGAACGTACTCTGAAAAGAAAGGAGTTTTCATTTCTTTTGCCACACATTAATTATTAACATTTATTGCCCTGTATCTTAAACTGCACCACACTAAAAATATGCAGAGTTACTATATTATAACCTGATGTGTTTTTACAAACCAGCTAAAATTAAGAAAATCACCTTAATATTCGCAAGTTTAATTATGAAATCAAATTACCTTTTCTATTCTGATTTGTAACTGCGATTTTATCACCATCAGGCTTTAGGTTGTAACATTTTATGACTCCAAATTCTTCTTGAAATACCTGATTAGAAATAACAGCATCAGTGTGCTACAGTGGTTAGTGTGCCAGTCTAGGACTTAGGAGATCCTGGTTTGAATAATCACTCAGTTATGAAGCTCACTGGGTATTTTGGGGCTACTCAGTATCTCTCAGCCTAACTTACTACGCAGGCTTGGAGGGGAGTATTGTGTCCATTGTCTCCTTGAAGGAAAGGCAGGGTGAGTATGAAATAGAAAACCCCTATATACAACAGCTGTATGTATACAATAGTCCTAGCGGGGGCTTTCATTCAATGCACACACATAACTGCACAATTAAAGCGCTACCTGGATCCCAGTTAAGGAAAGCTTGGGATGGCTCATCAGTAAGATTGGGGGAAAACGCCCATTGCTTCTGGGAATAGTATATGTCCTGAGCACTAGAGGGCAAATACTACACTTCACTTGGACGCCCACTGTAAAAAAGGAAAATGGATGTATTTTCTTTCTTTCTTTCTACCTGCTATCACAATCCCAAACCTCAGTCCCCTACCATAATGGGAAAAATGAGAAAGGAAGAGCTTCAGTAACCACATGAGTTACAGAGGCAGATAAATAGAATGCAGATGACAGGAGGACCGTGTATTCCAAGCTGCTGAGGGCTACAATAAATTAATTTGCTATTCCTGGGCAGGAATATAACCCACTATATGGCTATCCATTAAGAAAGAATGATGAAGATCATGTGCTGTAAAAGCACATGCTGGTATTTTACATGTCAGATGTCTATTTTACATGAAGTTACTAATTTTCAGAACTATTTTGTAAAGCGAATTTTCAGTATAATTTTGATATTGTTAGAAATAGGATATAGGCTACCTTTTCTGTTTTATAATAAATGCTTTTCTATTATACCTGGAAGGTTGAATAAAAGTCTTCTTCAACATTCCCTTCATAGGAAAGAAGTTCATTTAGTCCATGAGCCAATTCCTGCAAGCAGAAAAAAATGTAACGTTTGTAGTATATAAGATGTCCTCCTTTTCACCTGATCATACTGATCATACTGTATACTATATGTATGAATTGCTGCTTTCCACTTTAAAACACAATAGCTTAAAAACCTAAGAAGAGCCTGCTGGATCAGGCCAATGGCCCATCTAGTCCAGCATCTTGTTCTCACAGTGAACAACAATGGTATATCACAAATAAGGTGTCATTTGGCTCTCAACTGCAAACCTTCCAAGCATGGCTGAAGTCTAAATTGCAACTTTAGCTTATGATTAAAAAGTCACATGGCCCACTTGTGACAAGCATAAAGCTACTATAAGACATAAGCAGTAGTTTTAAATATCATCCCTCACCACTGGTATATATTTCCTAGCATCATAACATGGGCCTCAATGTGTGAAATTTCTAATAGCAACCTGGAATTTGTCTATGCTTGCAGAATATAAACTGTATTGCCACTATGTAAATGCAGTCTGAAAATGCAGAGTGAAAATCGGTGTTAAAGAATATAGACTGTGGCTGGAAGCTTAGGAAACCCAAGGAAATAATAACACAAGAATTACTATTTGCAAGTGTTCTTTTAAAGCATTGTTTTATACCTACCGGCATTACCCGACATAGGTCATCAATAGTAACGCTACCAATTCCTACAGGTGCATTCTGATCACATGGTACAATGGGAGGACTAAGTAGCTTTTTGTAGCAGCATAGTGGAAATCGAATATCCAGTGTGATACTGTTATAGACAGCTAGTCCCATTAGCTAGGTGCTGGATGTTAAGCTGAAAATCATACTATTGTCATAAGGTATCACAGTACAGTTTGAGTTGTGTGTGAACAGAAACATTTAAAGAGGACTTGTAAAAACTGAATGCAAAATTATAAGATATAATGTATAGTCTACACAAAGTATGGCTATTTAATAAATTCAGCCTTGCAATCTGCCATTTGATTTGAAGTAAGCAACAGCTGGTTTAGCTGAGCCTTTTGGAAGCAAACTGCAGTTCTCTCTCTCGTTCTTTAGTCACAAAAATATATGTTAACATCCACTGTACATAAACAATATAAGAAAACTTTAATGATTTGCTACGAAAGGAAAAACAACAATTCATTTAACAGTTCAAATATTTGTGACATGGTTAATCTGCTGTGTACACAGCACCTTCTAGTGGACAGGAAAGGATACAGCACCAACCAATCGGAATTCAGAGTAATTATCACAGTTCAAGCTGCTAAACCAATGACAGTGAGAGTCCTTGTGATATGTAAACATGCCTGTCGAATAGAACAAATATTTTTTGTATTAAAATTCTATCACCTGTGCCCCAAATACAGTGTGATCTTGCCATGATCAAGAATTCTTGAAGCCCTGTTGATTTCAAATAGACTTAGAAGTATGCATCTTTAACCGGATTCTGCTTCCAAATTTATTGAAATGTTTGCTTGAATTGACTGTGTTGTCAGGGCGTTAGAAAGCAAATTCCTTAAAACAAATTTCTCTGCCCATTTCAGATACTGTCTTTCCCTTTCATATAATTACTTTTCATCATTATGAAAATTTAAGCTGGAAGTTGAAATGGAAAAAAGAGTGCTATAAATGTAACAAACCATGAAGCTATCAGCAACATACTAATTTAATTTCTATGAGAGCTCTTTTTTGACCCAGACAGGTCCATAAGTGGGTTACAAAATGATTACAAAGAACAACAATATCAGCAACATCCAATAAAACAGAAATAAAGCCATACAGGTTTATACATTATTAATATAAACTGAATGACAAAAAAGAATATTTTTTTCAAAAAAAACCCTCAATAATTCAGTAGATTCCAACTCCCTATGTAATAAACCATTCTTACTCATAATCGGAATACTAATAAAGAGAAATACCATAGCTTCATTACAACCACTGAAAATAGTTTTTCCTGCATTTTCATCCTCCACATTTTCCACAGTAGGGAAATGTGAAACAGGGCTTAAGTATGCAGGCTGGTTCATACTGGAAGCATAGATCTATCAGGTCCCAGATGAGTAAGTTGGTACCAATGAATTCTTGGCACAAAGTTGAGGAGTTAATTTAAATAAAAATCCTCTCCGCTTTGCAATTCTTAATTCTTGTCTGACTTGTGGAAGTGATAGAAGAGCTTCAGTTTAAACACTCACCATAGTCTGGATGAAAAATTTGTCGAATTAGAAGAAGAAACCATTCTTTTGTTAGGCCACCCATGTCAAGACCAGCTTCTCCTACAAATGTAACTTTCAATTTCTTTTTCAAATCTGCTCTTTTCCTTGTCAGCTGTTTAAAAGCACACATATATAAATTAGTAAAAAGAAACATAAAAAAACATTTTAATGTTATACCTTTTATTTAACATGTGAAATCAGTTTATTATTTAACTCAGACATCATAAACACATCTTATTAGTCTTTGAGGAATCAATAGTCCATGAATGTGGAACTGCATTTTCTTCCTATGCTGAATCCTTTGATAATATCTGAATGCTATGGGAACAGCATTGTGACAGTTTTTCCTTAGAAGTGTAAGAGAGTGAAGGCAGGAACAGAATGTGTACATTTTCATATTGTTTCATATTGTTTCTCTTGTTGTTTCTCTTGTTCACTATATAATCTCCAAATGGAAATACAGTGGTATCTCTGGTTAGGTACTTAATTTGTTCCGGAGGTCCGTTCTTAACCTGAAACTGTTCTTAACCTGAAGCACGACTTTAGCTAATGGAGCCTCCTGCTGCTGCCGCACCACCGCCGCGTGATTTTTGTTCTCATCCTGAAGCAAAATTCTTAACCCGAGGTACTATTTCTGGGTTAGCGGAGTCTGTAACCTGAAGTGTATGTAACCTGAAGCGTATGTAAACCGAGGTACCACTGTAAGTGGTTGGTATACGTAAGATTTTTTTGCCACTGCCTGGCTGCAGTGATAGTGTATTAAAACATTTGTCACAGCTGATTGCACAGTACGGTCATCATTTCTGAGTCAGGCCCTATGCACTGAATTAAAAAGAAGCTCTTGCCAATGTTTTGCAAAACTGCAAACATGTTTTATGATTTAGTTATTTATTTAAACTACTTCTACTCTGCCCGTAAACAGAAACAAAATATAAAAAACAATTTTTGTAATACAACTTAAAAGCAGTAACAATGTGTGATCTATAAAAGCAGCATAAGATCATTTGGCAGAGATAAACGTCAATATAATGGTTGAAAAGAACATGCACTTTCCCCTCCCCTTCCCGCCCCTCCCCTACAACCTTCACTTGAATGCCAGAGCTGAAGATTTGCTGAAACCAGAGTTTCCCTTTACCACTGAAATGGGAAAATGATTTAATACTGGATTACACACCAGGTTATGAAACCAGACAAGTACCTTCAGGTAGATTATATGCATGTGCAGCTTAGAGGCATCTTTCAAGAATCAATATAGAAATAATTCTGTATACCTCATCTAGTGAATCACTAACTAGGTGCATTCTCCTCACTTTCACATTTAGAAACAACATGTTCATGTCAGGCCTCTGCCTCCGCGAGACTTTGTCCACAAGGCTTTGCTGTTTAGAATTCAAGACAGAAAACAAAAGAATTAACTACAGTATATTATCATCTATGTCTTATGTAGGACTCTGAACTAATGAAACTCCTTTCTGAAACACTGTGGTTTATACAAAATATTGCAGAATAAACTATGCAATACTTAGAATAAGAGAACAGTGTTTTCCAATGCCAATTTTAGATTGGGCAATCCTGCAAATTCTAATGTTTCTCATAGTCACTGCCCAATAATATAGAATATTCATTATACTGATTTTAATACAGCTTTGAATTAAAGCATTAGCCTCGTAGCCATAAACAAGTGCATGGAATTCTATGTAGGTGAGTGAGTGGGCTGGTGGAGAAGCATAGGAGCCAACTCCTAGGGGTTGAAGTTCCTTTGCGCCCCCCTAAAATATTTGAGGGGGCTGGGCTCCCCCAAAGTTGATGGGCATTGCCATTCAAATGGTGTACGTGTGTCACGTCATGTGATCGATTATGTGGGGCGGTGCTTACCTGGCCCTCCCCATATTTTATTCAAGTTGGCACCCTATGGAGAAGGGAGGGAAAGCTCTGACCCTCCTCTGCACCCAGCATAGAAACAAAGTAACTTGTCAGAGGGTGGAAGCCTTCTCCATGTCCAGAATAAAAATGCAGCAAGTTGCATCAGGGGAGATGGAGCTCCGACTCTCTCCTCGATCAGCACCCAGGGGACTACTGAATTTTTTGGTAGCCTAGTAACATTTGTGGGCATATTTATGAACCTGTTTTAATACATTATATATTTTAATAAAAAAACATACTTACCCGTGCAATATTTATCATTTGTTGTTCAGAATCTTTTTGAATAATAACCTTTTTTGCTGCTATAGAAATAATAAATGGATATTGACAGAAGGAAAACCTGAAACAGACAGAGAAACATTAATTATATTACTTTCAAAGTGATTATATTAAACACTATGAATTAGAGTAGCCAAATACAACAAACAAAAGTCCTAAAGCAAGGCAATAAGGGACTGCCTAACAACCACCCATATCAAGACCACCATGTCAAAATATGGAGGCCACAGGTCCTCCAGCCCTGCTTTAAAGTGCTGAGCTGTAGCTTGGATTAAGTCCTGCTGTCTTTTGGGGGGAGGGAACAAGACCAGCTTTTTGAGGAATCCTCTCTTGTGGCAGATCAATCTGAATCTTACCTCCTGCCATCCCAGAAAAACTGAAAACCCATCCACCCAGGTTGTTGCCACAATATTGATTCAAACTGCAACCCTACCCCTATATTCCTGTTATTCGTGAAACATGGAATTGGAAAACCATAAGTCGGACAATGTACCAAACAGCTGTTTCTCCAAAAACTAGTAAAGCTATGATTTCCCAAACTATTAGCTATGAACACACTTTTGTTTGTGTGGACAGTTTGTTGAAGAAGGCAAAAGGAAGCATAAGCAGATTAGCAGAGCATAACTGATATTTTGAATTAAAAAAGAAAAACATTTATTAACAACATGAAAGCAATATGTATGAAATACAGGAGCAACAAATAATATTAGCCATGGAATAGAAATGCAACATGCTGGTTGCATTAGCCCAGCCACTGAAATGAAGTATTGTCAGCCTCAGCATGCAAAATATAGGACTTCGTTGCCCTAATAAGAATTCAGTGTTTGCAATCTGTTGCACATTGATCTTAATGCTTCAAGGCAGTCCACATTAAGATGAACAATGATGAAGAACAGAACTGTCTGAGGTCTTCTGAAAAGCTGCTGTGAATGGGCATACACATTGCTGAAAAGTATCTCTGAAAAGTACAATACTAGCTACTCAGAAAACATCTGAGTCATAAATGGGTGAAGAACTGCACATTAAAATCGGGGGGAAATGAAAAGTTTTTGTCTAATGTACACGAGTTTGATAACCTAACATTACCTATAAATTATTGGAAGACAATAGTTTTTGAAAAACCATTGTTTTTAAAATATCTTTAATTAAAAGTGATAGGATGACCACTATAGATGAGGATGAGGATGATGATGATATATTTATACCCCATCTGGCTGGGTTTCTCCAGCCACTCTAAAATGGACAGAATGGTTCATTTTAGTAAAAATGGAAACCCTGAAAATATTGCAACAAAAATACAGTCAGTGGTTGATAACACACAACCCATGACATTTAGTAACCTTTTGACCATGGTACTAAACTCTTAAAAAATTCTTACCTTTGAGAATTTCCATAGCATTGCCAATTATGATATTCTTCCATGAGATCAATATGATCCAGTGTAGAATTATAAAAATCCATATATGGAACAATAGAAGGATTAGCTAGACTATTTGAAGTATCTATAAAGATATATTTAAATATGAGTTTTCAGAAATGACAACCAGCTTTCTTTAGAGAAATGAAATTAGACTTTTTATAAAAAAACAACAAAAATAAGTAAAATATACAGTAAACGGCCAGTCAATCCCTGAAAAAATCTTCACCTATGGAAGTAAAATCATGATTGCTGGAAAAAAATAAGTAACTGGGTGCCATTCGTTTAGCTCTTTCCCCCCTGAAGTTTTAATATCTGTGCATTAGATTTAAAAACTTATTTGTAGAACAAGATGTCTACACAAAGATTAATGCAGTTTTCAGTTCTATATTCTTAAACAACAACCAGAAAATTAAATCACTGCAGTAATAGAAGTGATTTACCTATGCTGACATTCATTTTTTATTTCAGATGTATTCTATACAATTGGCTAAGCATTGGCAGTCTGTAAATTTTCCAAGCCCTTAGCTGACCTGCTACCATTATCATGTAAAGTTCCCAATTTTTGTTCAGATGGAAGGTGTTAGCAATAGAATGTTAACAACAAGTGCACCTTCTGTGAGGGATGTGAAAAGACAGTTCCAATGGGAAAGTTTCTATCCAACTTCAAAGGGTGTGTGATTAATGGGTTCAGGGATGCCAGAGCTGCTGCTGCTGCTGCTGCTGCTGGCACAAGGGAGTCCTGCCACAGATGACTGGGCCACTTTTGCGAGAAAGGCCAGAGACATCTATGTAAAACATAGATTTGTCCTAATAGACAGGTAATTGACTGCACATCACTAGTTTTACTGCCTGGTTGGCAAAAACACCACACATTATATAAGAAAAGCATCGTATTAGAAGAAGGAACACAAACTAATTGAATCTGTGGAAACCTACTAAATAAAGACAACACTTTGGCTGCTGATGGAATCCACCAAGAACACTTTTCCAGAGGAGGCAATTCTTCAGGCTTTGCAGGAAAGAGTCGTAGAGAAATAAACTGTAGCAGCCGGTCTAGCACTTGCTTGAATCTCTTCTGTGATATCCTATAAGAAATATGCTGAAGTCATTTTTATGATAGAAAGCAAACTGTAGAATGTTAGTGGAACTCATAGCTTTTAATGAAAAGTATTTAATAGCTGACAAATTTCTATTGAACTGTACTAAAGTGGTATGGAGAATAGTTAGCAGAACTGTTAACTTTTTCTGTGGGCCAGTTCTAGTCTGTTAGTAGGTATCAGATGGAACTTTGGAGTAGATTAGGCATAGAAAAATATAGTATAATTTGTGTATTTTATAGTTGCTACAAATACTGAACCATGTTCCATTGACTGCCAGTAGGTTTTAAAGGTTTTTTTAAAAAAAATTAAAGAGCTGACCTAATCAGAACTAACATATTACAATAAAATCCCATTAGCAATGGAAGCACACACTTTCCAATTGTAAACAATAGAGAATGATTTACTTTTTAAACCAGTGAGTTAGGAAGTGATGATCGCCTTCTGTTAAGGCAGCAATCTGTCTTAGCAAGTGAGCATAAATAACAAATGTTGACGTGGTACTAAATAGAGGATTCTGTAAAAGATTAAAAACACTTTGTTAGTATTTTGGTTGTAATTTATTTTTATACTATTACAAAAATCACCATAGTAAGAAATGATTGCTTCTATTTCTTTATTCATAAAAGTATTTTTATACCACCATAAAATAAAATATATCAAAGCATCGTTATGCAGCTAGCATGCTGGTTTGACTGAATGCGTCCAGTGTGGCTAATGTTTCATTGTGTGCGTGGGTGCTCGTTGCTGCCTTGAAAGAGGCAGTGGTGGGGCCTCTCCTAAAGAAACCAGTCCTGGAACCCTTGGCCAGGAAGGACTATTGACCAATCATAAAAACCTATTTCATGGGGAAAGTGACAGAAAGAATTATGATGGGGCAGCTGCAACCATTCTTGGATAATATGGATTTTTTTAGACCTGTTCCAGTCTTGGTTCTGAGCTGGTAATGGCACTGTGCTGGCCTAAATTACTCTGGTGGATGACAATTACAGAGAGGGATAAGGGGAGTGCAATATGGGAATTGGGGGCACTGTATTACAGCGTTTTGGGGCCTACAAATGAGACTGAGTCCATACAGTAGCACTGGGAGAGTGCTTTTCAGCTCCCTGGAAGTTATGCTATGATGTGCCACAGGGCACTATTCTATCCCTAATGCCGTTTAATCAACACAAATTTAATTGACATGAAGCTGTTGGGAGCGGTCATTAGAAGTTTGAGGTCAAGATGCCATCAGCACCCTCAAGACACTCAGCTCTTCACTTTCCCTTTTCCTCCACCCTCCTCCTCACTCTTCTCAACTCTACCTTGCACACATCTCACCCATTTTCATGCCTTTTCCTCTCTCCTATTGTGCAGCCTGCTTTGCACACATACCCCATTATCACATTTACCCCCCTTTTTCCCATCTCCTTCTCTCCACCTGTACGCATACCAACCCCATTTTTATGCCACATCCTCTTTCCTTTGCACACACGTCATGTTCATATATGGTACTTTATCTTTAATATTAATAGAAACTTAAGAGCAAGTTTGTCCATTAGTTTATTCAGTTAGAAAATGTTAAGTTCACTTGATGGATGTTGTACATATATGGGTGTACAACATGAAGTTCCAGATTCAGTGTAGTCATGCAGAATAAATACTGTACTAACAAGTATCTCTTATGAATGATGGCACTAAATCTGGAACGTCATGTTGAAGACAACACATGGTAGCAGGAGTGAAATATATGACTGTGGGAAGGTACTATGGAATATTTGAGGGTTCCACATCCTTTATCTCTCTCACATGAGGCAGCTGAATGGAAGAGGGAGTCGTTTAAAATGTGCCATTTCCCCCTCTTTCAGTGTTTCACTCTGCTTGCTGAATTCATTCAACAGCAGAAGTTTTAGTAAAGCTGGGGTGAAAGAAAACAGAGATGAAAATTGTGGTTTTAAACAATGGCTGAAGATTGAGTAAAGCAGGAATGGGGGGGGGGGACAAACCAGCTTTAACAAACAGCAGAGATGGGCACAACACAGAAACTAACATCAAAAAGATAACAGATCAAGACTTTCCCAACTCCCTTCTCACTGTACTCAAACACTGCTTTCAACAGCCACTTTCCCCCATGTTACCCCTGCTCACTCTTCTCAAACATCGGCTATTGTTAAAATTGTCTCGTTTCTTCTCTAAGTTTGTCTCCATCCATGTTTTACTCAACCTCTGCGGTTGTTTAAAACTTTTATTTTTCTCTTTGTTCCCACCACCCCTGTTTTACAGGAAGTTCTGCTGCTGTTTTTCCTTGTCAGTATCCCTCCCTTCCCTCTCCCATGCCATGGTGACTGGTGTTGTGCAACCTGCCTTCTCTTTTACTCCCCTACCCCATGCAAATCCAGGCTTGTGATAAAGCACTACAAATCCTCCAAGTATTATTGTTATATATTTATTTATACCCTGCCTTTTCCTCTGATGGGACTCAAGGCAACTTACAGATAAAACAATAACTGTTAAAAACATAGAAAAATCAACCATTAAAATAAAATTAAACATTGATAGAGTTAAAACAATAGACACATATAAAATCTGCTTAAAATGAGGGCTGCATTCTGACTTCCTGCAAATCCAGGTTTGTGATGAGGCACTACAAATCCTCTAATGGCAGTGAAATAACTGCCTAACATTTTTATGTATATAGGAAGAAATGGTTACTTGTAAATAAATTTCACTCACTAGGACACCAATGTGCTAATTCAAGCAATAAAATTCTATGCCTACCCACTTACAAATACCATTACAAGCAGGTGTGCTGATATGCCTTTTCAAATAGCAAAATTAACTTGGTTTGTGTTTCCTTGGGTCTCTTGTTCCTCACTATTGCTGTGCCACGCATTGTGCGTGAGCACTGCAAACATACAAAGAGCCACACAGGAACAATTCTGAGCAAGTCAAAATAGCATAGAACAAAATGAACGTCAACAGAAGGGCTTCAATGGTGCACTTATTCCTTGGTAATAAATAAAGGGTTCTTTTCCTACCTGTATTAGTACAAAATATGCTCTAAGATCATCTTTTGTCCGTGGCCTGAAAGCAAATAAACGGTCCTAGAATGAAACATACCATTTCAGCATGTGTGCATGCCATAAATTTATTTAACATGCAATTCCAACTCCTTTTTCACCTGTCAGGATGTATACATGCAAGCAAGCACATACACAAAAACTATGTAGTCTTTCCGCATTTAAGTGTATAGAGTAGCCTACAACTTCTAGAATATGACTTCTAAACTGTTAAAGTTTTACTATATCAGCAAAATTAAGGAAAAAAATGTTCCAATTAGTTACATATGAAGAACTCTTTAGAAGATGCAGCATTGCTTGCATTTAATTATATGCTAACATAAAGCATAACAGGTTGCTGTTTGAGAAACACAAGTCCCGAAGATAGTTGTGTTGTTCTCTCCATTATGACCTATATTTGGAACAAACCTATCTACAAGTGTGCAGATTCATAACTTAAAAGTTCTGTGCAAAAAATGCAAATGGAGATTTCTTGCTTAAGGAAAATATTTTGTACCCATTTCTGTGAGCTTTCAGTTACTATTCATGCTTGCTTGAAAATAGTACCGTTTATAATCAGTTTGGAAACTGTAGCTCAAAAGGCCATGAGAGAACAGGAATAAATCTAATGCCCAATGAATTCTTTGAATCTTTCTTCACAGCAAAAAATGTAGGCCAGATATGTGAAAGATTGTTTTCAAGGACAGTGTCTAAAGAACCAAATCAAACAGGGTGTCAGGGCTTACTGACAAACATTAACATCAAAAGAAGAAGCAGAGGGTAGTAATAAACAGCAGTTCTCAAAAAGAAATAGAGGATGCAATTCAACATAAGGTTAAGTGGGATATGTGCAAGCAGAACAAGTCTGCTTGTGCAATGGGATCTCCCCCATGTCTGCTCATCCTAAACATCTTCTGGGGTTTCCCCCAACACTTCAGAGCAGATTTAGGGGGTGCAAGGAGGGGATGTGGGGAGGAAGGAGAGGGAGGAATGTCCCTTTGCCTAAGTGGACCTCATTTTGCTTGTGCAACAACTTAATTGAATCTCACCCAGAATCGTCAAGGTGGGGTATGTATTGAGAGTGGTACCATTTAACATTTGTTAACTTTCTTGAGTTATGGTGTGCAGTCTGAAGATCACACCAAATTAAAGAAGAGCCCCAAAAGGATCTCTCCATACAGTGTGAATGGGTGGCAAAATGGCAAATGAGAATCTATGTTGTGGGAAACAAGGGGGCAAACCCAAGAAGATGTGCCTTAAGGGACTGAAGGATTTGATAATGATGCCAAGTATAACACACTTTCTAATGGGTGTGAGTTGACACTGGTATCTGTTTCTGCTTTGTTGAGTCCTGGGGGCATTTGAGGCATCTGTCTGAGGCCAAGCACACCAACAGCCCCTGGACTAGTATAAAGCTAATTTCATTCCCATTGAGTCATTAGGCATGTAAAACATGTGACTGGTTCCTTTAGGAAGCTGGATGCTGTACAAGATGGACCTTTGGTCTGATCTAGCAGAGCTCTTCCTCTGTTTTTAATATTTAAATTGTGATAATACACCATTCTGTAATGGAAGGATATCCTCAATCTCAATTAAGTCCACACAGAACAGAACAAAATTTGCTGATATAGTTTAATTTCTCATTGGAATCTTCATTTGAGGGGCTTGTTTTGTTGTTCTTTATGTCCAAGTTTTTATTTTTAAGCTTCACCTAGTTTATTTAGGCATTTAAAAAAAAATAATTGTATGTATGATTGTTTGGATGGAGAATCCAAAGAATATTGAGGTCAGTAACAGTATCCTGGAATCTAGCATAGCACTATAAAAATGATATAAAAAACTATGGACTCTTGTTTTAAATGGGTCACTTCATTCTTCTATTATATACATATGGATAGTACAAAGAAATATGACAGTATATTCTTATGGCAGCATGTTATGCCTTTTCAGTCCTACAATTTACAAACCTTTTTCTGCCCTCTTATATATTGTACGCATCTGGCAAAAGAGTTCTTGTTGACAAAACCTAAATGAAGATGCTCAACCTAGGACTTTGATGTTTGGGCTACAAGTTACTAATTTTCCAAAATTCCATCTCAGCAGAAACTCTAAATGACTTGCACAATTTAAACGTATAGAGAAGTTATAATTACCCCTTCCATTCCTGTAATAAACCATTAATTATTCCCTTAAGGACACACTTCTGGATATCTTGAGGCTAGAACAAATGAAGAAAGAGAGAGAAAAACCACAACCAGCATTTAATCACAGAAGCAAATTCTACAGATATCATTATAGTCCTGTGGTTGGACAATGCTCTTGTCAAAATTAGTTTCCATTCTTACAATAAAACACAAGTCATTATTTTAAAATTCAGGGGGAAAAAATCTCAGTATTTTCAAGCCATTTATCAATTTATTGCTTAAATCTCCTGTTGGTAGTCTCTCTTCTAAGTTGATAATTCCTATTTTTCTTATATGAACCCCATCAAACTATCTCTTTTGTTTCCATGTCTTTATATCTCTTTCCAACAGGGATTATCAGAGACATGTTTGTCTACCGTACCATTGGGTAATATAGCTCTGATTGTAGTTTCTGGTCTCCCATGTATTTGCTATCACATGACTGGCAACAACAGGCAGCTTTTACCCCTTCTGCTATCTGGTGGTGAATGGTTGGCACATTATTGGTGAATGCAGATAGTACCCTATGCCCATCAACTATGTTTGATTTAAGGTAAAAGCACAGAGGCTGGGACACAAGGACAAGAAAGAGGTGTATACTGCTGCTCCATTGTTTATGCTACACATTTAGACTAACATAAGCATTTTTTATTCAGGGTATGGAAAACACGGATTATATTTGAACTAAAAGTTTGTCGTATATTATAAAAACTACAATTTGTACATGAACACAACTGTATATTCAATGTACAAAATGTGGAAAAAATACACTATCATTTTACTTACTGAACTTAGTAAGGCATCATAAACAGCATTCACAAACTTAGCATCAACTCCACAGTCTTCAATGGAATTAAAAGGGGCATCAATATTTTTCTGCAAATTGTGAAAATATATTAAAGAGCTGTTTCATGAGATTTGTTATGCCAGAGGTATTTTCAAACTTGCATTACAAATGCACATTCTGTAATAGCATCATTTATAAAACAATATAAAACGATTAACATTTAAAATGGATATTTTCATTAATTCTTTGCATTCCGATACAAACGGCACACCTTACTACACTGACACAACCCTTCTCCTGGAAACCACATCAAATTGCTGGTGCTATGCCAGCTCATAGCCATGTTACAAGCTACATGGCCAATGCCATGTTGGCTGTATGAGAGAGATCCTAACCTTTAATCCACACTGCTGGCAGGAGTTAGTATAAAGCAGGGGCAATCTGCTGCTGCAAGGTTTTAAGAAAGGGTGAATGGGTGATTGTGCTTCTGGATCCAAAGGTGGCCCACTTTCTGCCTGAGAGATGACAGCAAAAAAGAATTACCTGCCCTTCCTCCACTACCACTGACATTGACGAAGAAGGTAACTCCATCAAGCCCAGTCCTTTGATTATTCTTCCTGCCATCAAATCGGCTGAGGGAAGAACTGTGGGGCAGCAGCTGCCTGCCCTCCAGGCCTGGACATTGTCATCCAACTGTGCTCCTGGATCTGATTTGGTGCTTCAGGGATGGATCTGCTCTTCATCAAGAGCAAGACAGTCAGAGCTGCCACCAACACTGGCTATGACTGAGTCTGCTTTCCCCTCCACCTTCCCATTTCTTTTTCTTCATGTGTCATATTTTTTTAAACTGTGAGACTGAAGGAATAGACCACCTTAGAACTGGTTTTTGTAAGCCACTCTGAGAGCTTTTTGGCTAAAGGGCAAGGTATAAATGCTGTAAATAAATAATAATAACTCTCTGCCCTGGCCAGCAGAACTGGGAATGTGGCAAGGATCCACTACTCTATGCCCTGCCCCTCTGGTCGTATTTTCTCCCTAACATGGTGTCAAAAGTTTGATAAAGTTCTACAGCAGTATAACAAACTATCCATATGCAATCCCTTTATTTGATTTTTTTAAAAAATGTATGGTATTTATAGCTTCCATTAGTACTGAAATGCTTTAATTAATTAAAATAGCTTTAATGGGCATAAGACAGATGTTGAAACAGACTGCCTTGATTCCTCTGTCTCACGTTTAGTAGATGACCCTTATCCCATAATAAGCCAATGGGAGCCAAGAACTGAGGTTCATAAAGATTAAGGCATTATATCCATAGTTTGTCCTTTCTTTTTTAAATGCACTGGAATGCCACCAGCACTGCCCTTGTGTGGAGACAGCTGCTGATAACAGAATCTGCTAACATAACATCTGGCCAGACTTAAACTGGGTGGTTGCTTGCAAGCATGTTTCATTTTAAAAATGCAATGGAAGTTTGCCTGTAAAAGGGTAGGTGTGATTAGATTAAATCCCACACCAGCGGAACAGATCATTAGCATTGTCAGACATGACAGCATCAATGATTCCCTTGACAACTTCCTTTGGCACCTGTGAAGACTCTGAGCCTTCATCTGCTCACTGCCCCCTTCTTCATGGAGGTGATGGGGTGGTTACTTTTCTCCCTTGAAAAGTATTGCTACAGAATTAGGGGGGGTGTGTCATTCTATTCATAGGCCACTTCCAGGCCTGTAATTCTGCATCTAGCAGAACCAGTCAGACCAGCTTCTTTATTAAGCTAATGGCTTTAGCCCACTCAGCTAAATACCATCATCAGCATTTTAAAGTGTGACCCCTGTTGCCATAGAGACAAATGGGTGATTTTTTTCCAACCTCACCTGGCTGGATGCCATGTCATCATAGGACAAAGAACAAAAGGCCAAGTGGGGCTGCACATGTGTGAGTTTTTCAGCTGCCTTGGATGCTGGAGACACAGAGGCTTGACTTTTTCTGTAGGCAGAATACCAAAGCTATGGCTTTGGAGGGACTTCCCTAGAAACCTAATAGGGAAGCAAGATCTGTTGGAGAATGCTGAGAGTCCTTCCACCCTATGCTCAGGTTGTATACATGTGTAAATAAACCATATACCCTAAAGACACTACAGTCTCCATTGACCTTCATTCCAAGGTAACTAAACCTTGGGTAAGGGCAGGAACCGCTGGAGTCTCTTGCCACTTGGAGACTGGGGTGCATGAAACACTATATAAAGTAGGGAGAGTGATGCTCTCTCCTACTCCCACCTTCAGTTCTATGTGCCTTTCAAAACCATAGAAAGCATACAAAGAAAAGAGACGCAATCTGGGACACTGGGGAAAATCGGAGAGCTATGGGGGTGAGAATGAAAGAAGGCATGGGTACATACTCATATCACATCTAATACAATTGATAACTTTTAATTTGCCTGATTTTTCATGGGTTTCCCCAAGCCCACATCCGTCAAATCACAGATGTCACCATTGATTGAAGCATAACCATTACAAATCTGGTGCTTTCCAGTGTTGCTGTGTCACAAAAACAGGGACCCAATACATGGATTATCATAATTTTTCTATGAGATCCCCTGAAAATCACCATCAGATCATTGATCACATGTGTCTACAGATGGATTCTGTGATTTGTTGGCTGCTTTGGTTTTTTTCTGAGGTTTAATGAAATACTTAAAAAATCCGTCAGAATCTGTGCCTGCAACACCTTCACTAAAGTTTTCTGTAGTGCTTGACAGAGGCAGATTTTTTTTTTTTTTTTTTTACTGTATCAATATAAGCTTTAATTTTATAGTGGATTTTTTGGGAGACCCTGTGTAAAATCATGCAAATTCAAGAGGAACTGTTTTAATTCTAATGAATTAAACTTTTGCCCAGATCACATTCAAAGGCAAAAAGGGTTTGTGTGTGAACTTTGTTGTTTATCTGGAGTGGGGTGACCCAGGGAGGGGTGGGGGAAGAGAAGCAACCAGAGCAGGCTGTGTTTCCACAACACACATTCCAGATTCTAATTGTGCTTGTAGGCCCCAAAAGATTGGTAACAGCACTATCTAGTGGTGTGGGTACAGTTTTCCAACCTTGTGTGTAGCGTACATGCTATTTTCATATATATTACTCTTCCTGGATTGCTGTGTTTGTAATCTTGTCATAGATGAAAAATGCAGTATAACACTGCTAATCACTGTGAAAATGGTCTAACAATCAGTTTCATGTACCAATATAAAAAGCCAGTTTTACTATTTTCTTATACAAAATTAGATTTTAAACATGCCATTTTCCTTAATTTATCTAGCTTCTACGTTTGGTTGCTTTGTTTTAATTATATATATTAGATAAAACATGTATTTGCATTATTCTAGTTAATGTTTAAGCGAATTAAGATGTGTTTGTGGTGATAATGGTGGTTTTTACCTTAAACGCAGTATTGATTTCTGGAAAAGAATCAAACGTTTTTGAATAAAAATCATACACTGTTTTCCAGTCTCCTGATAATTTAGCTTTTTCTATGTCTTCCCTAAACAGAAAGCACAAAATGCAACCAATTATACAGCTAGCAGAATATTTTACACAAACAGCTTTCAATACATTTTAGACACCCAGAAATATAAATACTAGGTTGTATCCCATAGTTGTATTTAATTTCTTTTTCATAAATTTTAAAAATCCAAATTACATTCAAATAGGTGTAATTACATTCATGTAAAAATAGCACCCATAAATGCAGTTAAAAGCAGAGAACCTTACATACTTTGGACCATTAGGGCTAGGCATGAAATAATGAGGAACTAAGGAGCTGAGATCCAAAGAAATGCACAGCTTCTTCCACATATTCCAAGGCAGCTCTGTTTTGCTAGAACAAAAGCTCCCCATGTCACATAGCAAGCTGCTTTTATTAGTAAGGGAAATTTCACAAGCAGCTTGTGATTCAACACACGGTCAGTTCTTTAAAAAGAAAAATGCTAAAAGTTAAGCTACTGAAAGACCTAAGCTAGTTCTTCAGGTACAAATTGATATGCTCAAAGCAGTGATCCATCTTCTCCAGTGCTCACTCCAGAGTGCTTGGGAGCAGGTTGCCATTTCTTCCTCTTTTACCCACCAGCCTGGCACAAGACGTTTCAGGAACACAGCAATGTAGCTGGCCTTTCATTCCAACCTGAACATAATCCATGTGTAGCAGCAAGATGGCAACTGTGTGCCATGCCATGTCACCTTAGCAAGACAGCAGCAGAGGTTGCATGCCACAGCAGACAGCCACTGAGCAGGTGAGCCAGCCAGCTACCTCATGAACCATCTGCACTAGGAAACAAGATCACAGAAGCAGAGAATGCATGCCAGGCCTCCTGTCCCTAAGTTGCATGCTATCCAAGCAAGGTCATAATGGGTCAGTAGCAGAGGCAGAGTGCCAGACGTGCCATCCATTGTGATGGGACAAGCCACATGATCACAAAAGGGAGCACAGTCGAGGAAGTAGCATCAACAGCAGGGACCAAACATAGCTAATCCATGAGTAAATGAAGCATTCAATCACAATGTGCCCAAGGTATCTGCCTAATGTTGTAACATTTGAGAAAGGCATGTAATGTCTTTGCTCCCCCACCCCCACCCCCAGCACCACCTCCATCAACCACCAGGCTGTGAGAGACAGCAGCAGCCACCCTGGCAGTCATGTCTGAGATGGGATTATTTCCTACTTCACCTGCTGTGGCCCAAAGATTCTCTAGCAAAGTGGCTGCTGGAATCCCTGGGAACTGGGAGGAAGGCATGTAACATATTTGCTCCCTCCTAACATCTCCTACATCTGCCTCCAGTTAAAAATACATTCATTTAAAGGAAATTTTTGAGCTGAATTATTTATTCCTTGGTATGCATTCACAGGTTATATAGTTGCAGGAAATTAGAGTATGAAAAAATATGTATTTTCCAATAGAAGATGACCCATTTGGGAGTTTAGTATAAATATTAGAAGCTTTGTTTGGTTGCTGGATACAACATCTAAATTTTTAATTAGAATAATTAAAAAGAACATATCAATAAATCTATTAGCAGTACATATACACAAAATAATGCTACTTACCGGAAGTCTATTAGAGTTTTTGTTTGGATGGGAAGAGGATGTTCTGGTGGGACTGAAACTTTCATTTCTGCTGTAAGTATATCTACAGAGGTGCGCTGTTTTTGCCTAACATCGTGGCCAAGGGATGGAAGCTCTTTTGCTGATTCAGAAGCAAAAGTTTTAAAAAATCATAAACTGCAACTATAAAAATAATTAATTCAAAAGTAAACTAAAATATAGAGACTATGTCTACCTGAACCTACCTGCATATTTGAAAGGAACTACCATTGAAATTCCACATAAACATAGCTAGGATTAGGTTGCAGTGATACCTCATGCCCATACATTTGTGCAAGTCATAAAATATACATATATATATAAAATTTTGTTTGGATCTAGAGGAGCCCAACAGGAAGGGACTGTCTGAATGGGATGGGGTGGGGTGGGAAGGGATGAGCTGAAGAGGAAAGGAAGTCACCAAAAACTATCAGATGCACTTTCCATGAGCCAGGAACTGTATAAACTGTGGTTCTTGATTCTGGTTTTTCTCCCTAAACCATAGTTAAGACTAATTACAGTTTGTCCCAGTTTTGAAAGAATGACAAGCCACAGAAACAAAAGCTCCCAATATCCTTCCTGTGGCCATACAGGAGGAGAGAGGAGTGAATGAGTTTAGGCTTGTTCTCATAATGTTAAACCATAGGTTAGTGTTATGTCTAAACCCAGTCATAGAATTAACACTTAGGAAGTTCCAGCACCTGAGGCACACAGTAACATTCAAATTCCTTTCAAACTGGAGCTATATTTCATATTCTAAGACCAAGAATGTAAAAGAAACCTTCTACTACACCAATTTAAATGGGAGTTTATGACAAGTTTGAATAAATCACTAATCTCAGTGGGATAATATAATTTTAAAAAGGAAAGAAAGGTTTTGTTCATGTGACTTAAAATAATATGTTTCATGATCCTTATGCTTCTGAACATCAGTGTCACTGATTTTAAATACAGCAACACCCTTTCTAGCATTATCTTTGAACAAACTAGAAATAAGCACCAAACAATAACATACTAAATTAATTAGTAAAAATTTGAAGAAGCTTTAAATAGCTGTACCAGTCGTGCAGTTTACAACAGCACCTTAAAGAATACTATATACACTGAAAACTATTGATTATAAAAATAGTTAAAATACTTCCTGAACTCTGTTCTAAAAATACTTGGAACTGTTTAAGCGATGGTAAGATTTGTAAAGCGTTGTACTGCTGAATAATGGTTTTGAGAATGTTGCTTGGTTACATTATGCAAAAATCACTTAACCAATGTATGAGAGGCAAGAATGTTAATGAAAAATCTGATGAACAAAGCATTTCTGATAAGAGAAGAGAGACTAAATTATTAGAGCATTAACTGGAAATGAATGGGTATGAAACAGTGCCATTTCTTCAATGACTGATACAAATGTCACGACGTGACATGGTACAATTCTAGTTCAGAATTCTAAGGGTCAGTTTCCAGTTTTGCTCTACACCCAAACCCTTCCAACCATATTCTAGCATATATTCAAATGGGCAAAGCTGTCATAAAACCTGTGTTATCATAGGTACAGTTGCAATTCCTGTGGCAGTTTTTTCAGCTGTCCTATCCAGCAACAGCAAATACTTATAGTGTTTAAAATTAACCAGCAGTACAGATCCTGTTGGATTAAAAAAAAAAAAAAAAGACTTGCCCCCAATGTCAGTCAAATTCACCCATACTGTTCTGATTGTAAATTTAACAGTTCCCTCTGCCAGGGGCGGAGGAAGGAGGTGGGTGTGGACCACCCTGGGTGTCACCACTGAGGAGGGTGACAAAATGCCGGGCAGCACTCACCGTGGGGCCTGCAGCATGCCCGAGCCACGTGTCTCTCCTGGGAGTGACATGGTGGCTTGGGCGCGCGTCGGCTCTGCACTGCCCAAATGGTCCGCCCGCTGTCTCCCCCCCCCCCAGCTGTAGGGTGGCTGAGTGGGTGGAGGCAGGCAGACTCCAGAGGCCCCACGGTGTGCCCTGCCCCTATGGGCACCCAAGTGGCTTCCTCTGCCGCTGCTGTCTGCCTCTGATGGCAACTCAACCCTGACTACAGTGGTACCTCGGGTTAAGTACTTAATTCGTTCCGGAGGTCCGTACTTGACCTGAAACTGTTCTTAACCTGAAGCACCACTTTAGCTAATGGGGCCTCCTGCTGCCGCCGCGCCACCAGAGCCCGATTTCTGTTCTTATCCTGAAGCAAAGTTCTTAACCTGAAGCACTATTTCTGGCTTAGTGGAGTGTGTAACCTGAAGCGTATGTAACCTGAAGCATATGTAACCCGAGGTACCACTGTATTCTTACACCCTTTTTCAAAAAAAGGCCTTCCAAAGCATCCAAACTATCTTTACTCAAGCTCTTTCAACAACCCCACTTCTTCTATACTGCCAATAGAAAAAAAATCTTGACATTTAAAAACAGCTAAGCAGGCAGCAGGCTATGATTACTGCCACTGAAAAGCTTACTACATGCACAAAGTGCACACTGTCAATGTTACACTCATTGTAGCTATTTCATCCTAAAACTCCCTACTGACTTATTTATCTGTTCTAACTTGCATTTGTTAGACTGTTAGCTCTTATTGTGCTGTGTCATTTATTATGACTTTAGAGTACTTGGCACGAACACAGCTCTACTAGCAAGCACCAAGGCTCTGTCACAACACAAACAAAAAACAAAACAGCTACTAACAACAGTGCACCAAGTAGCTCCTGCAGTCACAAATGGCTAAATAATGAAACTTTTGTTCTCTTACCGTTTTTTATATCTGCAATAACAAATTCTGTAGGTGAGCTTCCACTTCCAGTATCTTCTTGTTTCTGGCTGATGGTTGAAATGAAACTGCTGAATGGTGAAATATCATTTTTTGGTCCCGTTTCCAAGCTCTGCAATTAGAAAAAAACAATTCAATGCTGTGACATACAAGTTCCATTGATTCAGTGGAATTTAGGGCTACTTCAAACATTATGAGAGTCAAACACGCATTTTTAATATTGACACAGTGTTGACACGTTTACATTTTTACATTCATACACCTCTCTTTCCAAATTGGCTTGTCTGTCATATTATATTAGTGCATATACACTAAAAATGTAACAAGTGGAGTTATTAGGTACACCAAATTTTATGCAGGTTCTACCCTAAAAAAGTATATGCAGACACTTTTCTCTCTAAAGGTACCATAGATTCTGGCATATTAGGCGACTGGGCATATTAGACGACCCCCCAAATTAGCAGCTGCAATTTGGGGATTTGTCTTATAAGCCCAGTCGCCTAATACACTGGGCAGCTCCGCACCGGGAGAAAGTCGCCCGGCGCGGAGCCCGCCGCCCGCTGCTGCTGCTTTGGAGCCACTGCCGCAACAGCGGGGGGCGGGGGCAGGCTCCGCTCTGCACCACCCATACCCATAAGGCGACCCCTGACTTTTTAACCTCTTTTCTGGGATTAAAAAGTCGCCTTATACGCCAGAATCTACGGTAGATGTTAAAATCGATATGAAAATCTTAAGTCCTCAAACTCATTGAGGACTCTCTGGAGCCTGGATGTGCAAGAGACCACCTATGGAAGAACCCCCGGACCAGAACTCTCCTCCTAAAGGACAGATAAAGGTGGAACCATGAGAACTAGATGAGCCCAGAGTAATGCCATTTGCAAAAATACTCCACACAACATGCCACTCTCTAAACTTGGATACTTGGCTGACTAGTTCTTTAACCCTTTGCTTTGTTTTAACTAGAAAGGGAGCATATACTTTGAATGGCATACTCTAACCATAACTGCTTTGTTCTGTATTGAAGTTGTATTTCCCAAGAACATTCTTTAAATAAAAGTAATTAAAAGTTAAGCAGATAAAAGTTTTAAAATTTCATGGTTTAATAAACACAAACCATTCTTATAACATCCTGCTTTTAACATATAACATTTTGCATAAAGCTTGAATCACAGATATCTCATATTTTAACTTGGAATGTATTTGTAAGGAAAACATTTTTAGAGCTGAATTTTTTTGACATATTTCCACGTAGTAAATAACTGTATGTGAGTTTTTTGATGACAATATTATTACTATCTAATCAAATAGCCAATGACTCATCCCACCATCTGCTGACAATCTACTTAGAAATAAAATGTTAGTGACTATCATTTATCCTATCGTGTGCTGACAGTATTCTTGATATCCTTTTCCCTTGCCACCAAGGAATCTGGTTAGAATAAAACCATACCATTTGCTGTATGCAACTACTTAAGAATTAGGGCAGATAATTAGTACAGTGATAAAGCATGACAGAAAAAGAATGTAATATACACAAGATAGCTGTTCTTAGACAGAAAAAAACACCTATACATTGGGCAGAGGGAATACTTGCACAAGCTCTGCAATAACGTCACCCACCATTAGAAATAAATTATTTTCTTTCTCAAAAACTACAGTGCAGCACCCATCAATTTGATTTCATAACAAATTAAGAGCTATTTAGCCAATATTAGTAGGCTGGATTCTCATATACTAACTACAAAAGGATTGCTTTGGTACAAAAATAGAATTGTACCCCACATACTAAAAATGGTTTAGAGCATGCCATATGGCACTTCCCTGTCCTTTCTTAATTCAGTGCCTCTGAGCCAAACAAAACAATATAGGATGCTGAAGTGTGTAGGTCTGGGGTACCTACAGAATGCACAATACATGTTTTTATACTCTTTTGAAAGCTATTCAGGTTCTAGAAGCAGCTTGGTCAAAGCTGTATCTAAAGTTGTTATATCAGAGAAAGGAGAGGGCAGGCAGGGTCAGAGGAAGATGATGAAAAGTAGTGCATCTGGTCCAGTCACCAAAAGAAGGAACTCATGAGAGAGAAACTGTCCTACATATTGTGGCCAAAGTACTTGCAAAGTACAATTAGAACAGGCAAATCCCCATATCCAAACTATTGAAAATCTTATTTAGCCATCTTTACTGCTCCCAAGACTTCAGCAGGCATTGCTGACATATTTTAAGCATACAGTGGTATCTTGGTTTAAGAATAGCTTAGTTTATGAACAACTTGGATTAAGAACGCTGCAAACCCAAAGTAGGTGTTTTGGTTTGTGAACTTTGCATTGGAATAAGAACATGTTTCGCTTCCTGTTGATGTGTTCCATTTGTAAATTGAGTCCTCCACTGCTATGGGAAAGCACACCTTGGTTTAAGAATGCTTTGGTTTAAGAATGGACTTCTGGAGCAGATTAAGTTCGTAAACCAAGGTACCACTGTATTTAGTTACAGGCTCTCACAAAGCTCTACTCCAATTCCTCACATATATCTGCATCCATAAGGGCTAGAAACATGTCTTTTATTTTAAAAAGCAGATTCTCAAGAAATTGATTTTCTACTCATAACCACATTCTATGGTTCTTCTATGTGTCCACAGAATTATGTCAAATACATTCCTGTCTATTAATTCAGAGATCTACAACTTGAGTGCTTGTTGCTATACATTAAACAATTAAGGCATAAATTCTTATTTAGAACACTAAATAAAAACTCCTTTGTGATAAATGGGCTCCAGTTCAATAGCTCTTTCTTCATTTCTCATTTCAAAATGTTTTATAAGTCTTGACGTTTGTTACCAAAATATCATTGTGTTCTTCTCCATCTGTTACTTTCCCTAGATACAATGAAGCATCTCTGTAACATAGTTATATTTAACACATTTTGTACTTCCTTTTTTTGCTACCTCCACCCAAGCCATTCAGATAAATAAATATAGACGTACAATTGTTATTCTTCTAAAATAGATGTGCTCCCCCTCCTTACGTTACAGATATTTGTAACGCACAAAACAAGACAATCAACAAAGATTTCAGTGTTAAATGCATAGGTAAGCCTTTTTAATTATTTGAGCTTCAGCACTTAACTTTCATTGTACACAACTGGAAACAATCCCAAGCAGTGCTGTCTTTAGCTGCCGGGGTGCAAAGATGTGCCCAGTGCCCCCAAATTTAGTTTAGCCCCCAAATTAACTTTTATTAGGTTTATGTCAGACACCACGCTTAAGCCTTATCTCCTGTTTACGAAAGAAGGGAGGAAAAGAAACAAACTTTTTTTTTTGCTCATTTATTTACAATACACTTATACTTAAGTATACAACACCACCACACTTTAATTTATAAGTAATGTTTAGGCAACTACTTAGGAGAAACATCAGTCGTGTCAACGATGCCACTGACCCCGCTGCCGCGTAGCAGCTCAATACAATACGTAACATAATATTTTGATGTAAGAGTTAATTTCGCGTGCACAGCGCAATGTGAATGACAAGCGCTGCCGCTGACGTCTTTGGTAAATGAGCACACAAAGTCGAAAGTCCTTTAGTGAAACAGTAGGTATACATTTCGGTAATACCTAGGTATATATGTATTTTGTTTTTCTAGCTTGATCAAAATTATTTATTATTTCATAACAAGCAGATAGTTAAGAGCTTAGGTGGCTTCAGCGGTGAGCGCCTGGCGCCCCCCAGAATTCAGCACCTGGGTGCCCCGCACCCCTTGCACCCTCAGATAAAGACAGCCCTGATCCCAAGTACTATTTATGTATTGAATTTGTATCCCTCCTGCCCTCCTGAAGGAATCCCAGGGCAAACACATCCAGAATTTAAAAATGAAACAAAAACAGAGTGAAAACATTCTGAAAACCATTAGCATAAAACATCTTTTAAAAGTTACAGTTGGCCTCAAATGTTAAGAATCTAGCCGCAATATTGGCCTCTTGGGATGGTGCAGTTAATTTGGCCTTCAATTGGCGACTGTGAGAACAAGATGCTAGATTAGAAATGCCACTGGCCTGATCTGAGCAGGCAACTTATGTTCTTAATTTTTAGGCACTTAACTTCAATCTGAGTTTACAAAAGACTTTCACACAATTAGGACTTGAGTCATCATCCCCACAAATGTGCTTGATTATAATTTTCTACCCTGGTCTACATTTACTGTGAATGTTCTAGAATTATTTGCTAGGAAGAAAAAGGATGCTTAGTATTAGCTGAAGGGCTGGTGAGTGACTCTTACCCCCTGCTGCTTTTTTCTCCAGATGGCAAATTGCACTTTCCACTAGTAGGAGAACAACAGAAAGCAGGAAGCAGAATGAGATTTGCTGCCTTGCAGCACAGGGGCCATGGATACATGGAATATAGCTTTTCAAATTCTCCTCAAATGAGCCTTTTGGCCTATTAAGATATTTAGAACAGGCTCTTCTGCAGTATCATAATGTGCTCAGTTAGATTTGGCAATCTAGACACTGTCACTCAATTGCTGTGAAGATCCACATGCCTTTCCACCTTGTAGGGCATCTGTTGGAAGGAAGTAAAGTTCTCAGCAATAAACCACAATATTCTGACACTGATACAGGATGTTATTCCATAAGCTAGTGATTCTATTGGGATCATAAATCTTCCACAGAACGAGGCTGCCAAAATATCAGTGCCCATCATTGGTTAACAACTTTTCTTCATGCATGTGCCATTTTGCACTTCTAAAAAGTTTTGTTTTAGTCATTCTGAAAAAGTTCTAGGTGCTGAGCACTCCCTCCCACTCTACCATTCAAGTGAGGGAGATTCGTGTAGCTTTTTGAACACAAATGAGTGATGCATAATAGAAAGATAACCTTCTCCTTCTCTAAAAAGTGTCTACTTACCTTTCCTTTTGCCCCCCCTTTGTTGCTGTTAACATTTTTTGACAGGTGTGCATTTAAGATCCAGTGGATCATGTATTTCTTACCCCAATAAGTATGGGGTGCCTCATTCACTGTTTGTGATGCAGTATAATCAGTCTATGGAAATGTGGCTAGATGTCATTTAATGCATGGAAGATCTTGGGGAACATTTCAGGCCCTTCTTAGGCACATTTTTAACCTGGATTTATCAACCCCCCAAGATTCGACCAATGATTTTGTTTCTAGTTAGGCAATTCTAAGCATTCATTTGTTGCTTAACTGTTTACTTTATAATTGCATTCTCCAAAAGCAATCTCCAGTCTCTCAAAGCTATCAAACTATGAGAGAAACTATAGCTGAGAAATTAAGGTTAAATGGTGAGAATGCTATAAGCATTAATGCATTCTAAATACGAGTACATACCATAATTGTGCCCCGTTGGAATGGTACACACCAGTTCAAAACACAACCCCCTGGAGTTACTTTCAAAGGGTGTTGGGTGCTCCCCCAATTTGTCCTGCTACCTGCTTAATGACCTCAAGCTTTCATTCACAGTGTATTTATATTTAATGTGTATGTATAGCAAAATCCTTGCTCCCCTTAAAGTGTCCCCCTGAACTCAATTATCCCCTGCAGTCCCCTTTCCTCCCAAACAGTCTTGACAAAATCTTCCTTGATACTTATTCACTGGACTTACAGATATTTAAACTATATTCATGCTAATAATTTGTTGATACATCGATGTTATAACGGCCTTGATTTAAAACGAAAAACAACGTGTTGGGATCTTATTCCGTGCCAGAACAGAGAAATCCTGGAAACCACGCCTACGCAATCTGTCCCATTCAGCACGCTAATTGTTCCGACAATGTAGCCAAAAATGGCAGGACCGTTAAATACCAGCTACTTCTCTATGGATAAGTTTATAAGAACCCCCTCCCTCCACCCCCCCCAAACCCCATTGATGCCAATCACTGGGTGCTGTTACATTAGTGAAACCAGTCAACATGTATATTATGTGTACACCTGAGAGGGTGGGAGGAAAAGAAACAAAACCTCCCGTGAATTTCATGCCCTTTGCTTTCCATTATCACCAGGAAAGATTTGGCCTTAAGCTGCTTTTTCACGGGAATTGAAGCCGAGCCATTCATCCCAGCATCTCCTGGTGAGCTCAGCAACGAAGCATCTGTGGACGGGAGAAGCTTTCCAGCATCCCTTAAAAGAGCATCTCAGGCGCTGGTGGTGGTCCATGAAAGCCTTTACTAGCCTTGCCGCAATCAGTCTGCCAGCCTTTATTAAGGAGCCGCTGTTTTGCTGCAGCAGACCGCTAGGAAGAACCAGGAGCTGGTATATACAAACACAGAATGCATACATACCCCAGAAGCTGCCCTGGGCTCCGTCAGCTGCGGAGGCAGTTTCTTCTCTCCTCCTCCTCCTCCTTCCTCCTCCTCCTCCGCAGCCGCCAGCGCCGCCGCCCTCTCGTCCTGCTCTGATCCCGCCGCCTCCGCCGGGGAATCCGCTCTCTCTCCCTCCTCCGCGCTGCAGCCCAGCAACAGCCGCTTGTCGCCGGCGGCGGGCGAGAGGAGCTCCGAGTTGGCTTCTGAAGGCTGCAGCGACATCCTCTCTCCCTCGCAGGCAGCAGCAGCAGCAGCAGCGCGCCTCTCTGTCAAACCAGCCCCGGGGCTGCTGCTGCCGCTGCCGCCATGTGTCCTGATCGCCTCCGTCTGTCCCCTCCTCCTCGCCGGCTTTTTTTTATTTTTACCTCAGGCAACCTCTTTTACCTCAGAGGCACATCCACGACGAAGACGATGACGCCCCGCTCCTCGCCCGCCTCAAAGCTATGGCTCTCTCCCCAGTCTGCCCCCTTAGCTTCCCTCCGTATCGCCGCCTCAGGAGGAATTTGTTGGCTGCCCGCAAGCGGCGCTTCTTCTTCACACGACGCCCCTGTCCCTCTTTCGCGCCGCCGCCGCCGCCACCCCGCTACCGCCCACAAGCCGCCAGCTCCCTCTCTCGGCGCGGTCTCCCTTCACTCGGCTCCTGTGCCAGCCGCTCTCAGAGCAACGGCGACCTCTCTAGGCCGCCCCCGGAATCAGCAGAGGCGGCGGTTGGAGGAGCCGGCGCGGAAGAAACAAAAAAGAAAAAGGGAAAAGGAGCGGGGGCCCGCGAGACGTGGCGGCAGCCTGAGGCGCGGACACCCCCGCTCGTTGGTTTCTTTCTCTCCCCCCACACACTTCCCTTCAGTTGGCGAGGGAGGAGCCGCAGACGGGAGTTGTGAGGCGGCACAGGCGGAGATCTCCCCCCGCCAGGGCTTCTTCGCCACAAAACCCCGCAGAGCCGCTGCGCCGCCTACAGCCCGGGGCCAGAGAGCGAGGCCGCCATGTTGTTTTAGTGGGCGGCATGTTATTATATAGGAAAACGCCGCGCTGGGTGAGTGGGAGGGAGGGGTTGGCCGCGCGGCTGCGAAAACTCCGTAGCGTCAAGGGAAGCTGCAGTGCCCACTCTCCCCCGTCATTCCTTCGCCCGCTTAAGGGAACTGCCTGCCGCGCGCTCTACGCAGACTTAGAGGGATTCTCTAAATGCTGGTTGGGTTACCAGCTGGACGTCCCCCCCCCCCAGCTTTGCGCGAAGGAGGGTTGCGGATGGTCCCCCAGGACATGAAACTTTTTTTTTAAATGTTACTCTAATTATGACGGTGAATAAGAACCGTAAATAGACTGTTCTGTGGCGCCCCTAATTGATTTATTTATGGTTATACAGAAATGTCTAAAAATAAAGTGGTGTAAGCTTTTTTTTTTCCTTTTTGGAAAATATTAGTGAATAAATAATACTTTGGTGAAAGAAATCCCCATCCCTTTCACATTTCAGAGAGTAGAAGTTATGGGAGCAAAATTGTAGGAACTGAGTGAAATGATAGGTGACAGAAAAGGGAAAAAAATCCCTGTTACTTTTCTCTTCAGAGATTGTGTCCCCAACGCAGTGGGTTGTTTTTTAAAATTTACTGTTATTTTTTTACATTTTTATCCAGGAGCATGTATGGTTCTTTCCCAGTTTTATCCTTTGAGGCTGAGGTATATGGACTAGCCCAATGTCATCTGGTGAGTTTCATGGCTTTAAAACAGTGCTGTGGTGCTATTACATGTATTTGCACCTATATCCCTAAGTTCTAAATAAGCTTACTAGGGAGTAAGGCCAAATGAATGCTCCTGTGAACATGCATGGGATGGCACTGATTGTGTCATTCTAGAACAGAATATCAGTGGGATAGGAGTCAGGTGGTTTTTATGATTTAAACCTTGGGTGGGGTGGGGACCAAAGGTGGACAAACTACCGCAGAAGAAGCAGGAAGTGTCACTCACCAGAGGTACTCCTCCTCCCGTAACTAACACGGCAGTATGACTTCAGCCCCGGAGGTGCACACCACTGTCTCTGCAGACAGACGGATGCCAACAACAGTAACTTAGGGGGGGAACCCTCTTCAGCCTGTATTTCAGTCTAAGCAACCTTCTGGAGGCCAAACACCAGAGCTTAGCAAGGCCAGAGTGGGCAGAGCAATAAACATGAATTTTAGCTTAGTTTCTATAAACATGCTAACAGCAGCTCTATCTCCCACCCCGACAAACAAGAAGCATTATCAGAGTTCAAGGACATATTCTAGCTGGGCTGGTGAGGTGCAGCTGAGAAGAGAATATGGCCTGGAGAAAGTCCCAAGGCCTTGAGAGCTGCATCCAGCCCCTGGGCTTGAAATCTGCCATTCCTACTCTAATTAATACAAGGGCCATCATAATAGTGCCATTGTGACCCCTGGTGTCCACAGTGTCTTAATCCCTTCCCTCCCTCACTGGCCGCCTTGGTCATGAGGGTGTATGGATGGTTACCTTCTCTCCCCCGCCCCCGAAAAGTACATAGTGCTGAAGGAGAAAGTTGGAAGAGTGATATTTGTTTTGTGAGCTTTTAGAGACACTGCTCTTTTGGATTTGACATTTACGCTGATCCCTTTGATAAGTGAAATGGGTGCATGGGTGATTTATCTATGTCTCTTAGGATGAAGAACTGATCTGGCTGGAGGGAGGAGAGCAATTATCAGAGGGGATGGTGTCCACAGTACTTGCTCAAAATCCAGATGTGCTCTGAGGAAAAAAATCTAAGCCTGATTTCTATGTAGCAGACACTAAGTTTTTTATTTTAGCTCCCTCTACAACTGCCACATTAAAGAGGGAGAGTTAGTCCCCCTTACTGTCACCACACTGTAAATGTAGTGTTCAAGGACAAGTCTCCAGGCACATAGCAAATGCATTTCCTTTACTTAATAGAACTTAATCAAGCATTACAGAAATTAAGATAAATTAGGTCAATATCATAAGAACCTCATAAAATACTAGCATTACAAATCTAAAATTATGCATGGCACAGATAAATTGGTTGGTTTAAAGCAGGGGTGCAGAACCTTTTTGGCTCCATTTATCTGCCTCGTGCCAAATTTGACAGAAGGGTGTGACCATGCACCTGTCAAAATCCCTTGTGCTTCAATCTTAAAAGGGAAGGGGGCAAACATGCGAAGGGTTTTGCAAGCCTTGGGTGGCAGCAATGTTGGTCTCACATTTTCCTGCCACCATCCTGCTCACTTAAAGGAGAATGCAAAGGACTGTAATCTCCACTCATCAGGTGGTTAGCAGAGATTAAATTCTGCTGCCTAGGCTGCCAGATCCTGTTCCCTCCTGGGAATGGGGTGGTACAACCAATGCAGAATTAAACCCTCTCTTTCCATCAGCTGACATCATCCGTGATGTTATTTGATGGGTGGATGGGCATGGTTTGGAGAAAATGGCCTGGTGTGTTAAATATTGGCACACAAACCGCAGGTTCCCCACTCCTAGTTTAAAGTCTCAAGTACACAATGTGTACCTGATTACTCCTTTTGATGTGTTTGTTGACACTCTCAAATAACTCTAAAGGATTAGTGACACAAGACTTGGTGCTGCTGAAGTCATGTTGATGCTCATTCAGCAGGACTTATCCTATATTCCTAATAATTTGATCTTTAATAAACTTTCCACGAATTTGTCCAGAAGAGACATTGAGCTAACCAGACTACCAGTAATTTATTTCCAGGATTCTCCAACCCCCACCCCCCACTTCACCTCACCACCCAGTTTCCTAAAAAAATATATCCCTACAATCACCACTTTTCATTGTAATCTCTGGTATGGAGGCAGATCCTAGAGACATTTTCTATACTTTTGTTAGATGAACAGCAGTTTCACATTTGAGTCCATTCAGAACTTTCTGATGGATATCAGCTAGACTTGGGTATCAGTTGGGGTTGGGGAAGCAGCAGTCAGGAAGATAAAACTGCAGCAGCCCAGATAAATAGTGGGGGAATCAACATTTGTACAATCTGTTTTCGTGGTGGGGGTGGGGTGGGCGGAATCTAGATCAGCAAAATGGCTATTTTAAATTTTAAAAAAAGAATCTGGATTACATTTGCCACAGGTATTTGTGTTGGTTTCTGTTCTACAACAAGAACATCAGCATACAAATTACATGTGTAAAATAGGTGGATCTTGTCAGCTAATTAACTTTAGCATTTTATTAAATAATTATGTATAGGGATAGATTATACTTGCATATTTTAAAAAAGTGTTATTACACAGAAATGCAAGTATATGAATGGCAGTTTAAGTAACAGGATGCTATTCCTCTTCCCATTCTTGCCATCAAGGGGCAGTCATAGACTAGCTGCTTGATTCTACATTACAGAAACTCCAAAATTTTCAATTGGTGATAGGAATTGCATTGTTTTTTCATGGGCATCTAGAAGTGTTGAGTAGTGTAATCAGAGGCTTTTTTAATTTCAAAGTAAATCAACAGGGCATGTTCCTTAGTCGTAAGTGTGTTTGGGTTTACAGCCTAAGAAGAACTTTTGAGAATCATGCTTTAACAGCTACCCAGCATACGTTTACATGGAAGTACACGTCAATTGTGCTTACTCTCTCAATAAGCATGTCTAGGATGGTACGCTTTGTAATTTAAGATTATAATCCAAAATTAGTCAGTGATTCTTTCAATTTCTTTCAAAGTCACCTGTTAAGTGATCATGCCATTTCTATTCATACAGAGTTTAGAGGTTGTATGTGTAATAACATTTTAGGTGGCTGATGTTTAGTCTTGTGAAATGGAACACTTAGATCTTGCCAGCATCTGGGTATGAGTTTCAAATAAGTAGCGTAGTTGAACTGTTTTGTATTGTGTATGTCAAATGCAATTATGTTGCTCTCAGTCTGAGCATTATTTTATCCTGGTTGTTAAAATTTTACAGATTAAGCTGAATGCTGGAATCCAATCTGTCATCCCAGTTTTGTTCTATAAATAGAGCATCAAATCTTTCTTCTCTCTCCTGATAGTTTTTCTCAAGAATCAAGTGGTTTATTTATGCAACAACACTAAGTATACAAAGGCATTACAAATGAAGATCAAAATGCCATATTTCACTTTCTGACAGCTATTGTCCTCAATCAGTCAGTCAGTCAAGAATGGTGGGGTGCGAATAAACATAATATCACAATAGTGAAAACTATCTTCCTAGGGAACTAATACTTATTGCTGGTATGTAACTATCTTTTAAATTTAGGAGATGAGCAGGGACAGCAAAAATTGAAGTTGGGGGAGGCTTGGTGGAGGAAGGGAGAGAAGGGAAATGGGAAAAAATACTTTACCCACACCTTCCTCTGTCTCTTACTCCCTCACTGTCACATGCTTCCCTCTGTTCCTCACTCTCAATACCTGTGTCTCATTTCCCCATACCTGATATTTGGCTTCCAATGCATTTAAAGAATGTCTTGTGTTGGTCTTTAGGTTTTCAGCCTTATGCTCCTTGAATTATTTGTTTGCATCTCTTATTAGCTGCTTGCATTTCTTTCACCAAAGCTTGTGTCTTTTGTTTGGACAAGACATCAGTTTTCCCAAGGAAGACTTATTACCTGTAATAGCTTCCTTGACTCTACAGTCATACCTTGGAAGTCGAATGGAATCTGTTCCGAAAGTCTTTTTTACTTCCAAAACGTTTGAAAACCAAAGCGTGGCTTCTGATTGGGTGTAGGAAGCTCCTGCAGCCAATTGGAAGCCACGAAAGCCCCGTCGGATGTTTGGCTTCCAAAAATAGTTCACAAACCGGATCACTCACTTCCGGGTTTGTGGCATTCAGGAGCCAAAACATTCGAGAAATAAGCTGTTTGAAAACCAAGGTATGGCAGTACTTGTATACAGTATACACATATGCACCCCCCTCAGCTAGCATAAGTCCCCCATTATGTCAGGGTTTAGCTATGCAAGGTATCTGAGCTCATGTCCTAATGTTTCAAGCACATGTTATACAGAGTATTTGGACATGCTTTGAATCAGTTCCAGGAAGAGTATTATTTGACAACAGTTTTCACAAATCAAGCTTCATCAGGGGGGCCAAACCTTTTCCTCCTTGTCAATATACGGGAAGCCTGGCATGGATTTGCCTCTCACAACAGGTGTCTGGA